TTGTATATAAATATATTGTAAGAAAAACCGACGCGTTGAATATTTGAGAAACTCAGTGCATTGCTTTATTGACTTTTATTCATATACTATACTAGTACACTAACTTTCTAGCTGTCTATTACATAAACGGTCTAGCTGTTTTCTGTCTGGTGAGCACCTTGGTACACCTTCTAAATCTAGATGTGTGTTCAATTTAGTAGAAACTCTTTTGCTTTTTAGATTTAAGTTTACTAAAATATTTTGTGTGATTTGAAAAGCTTTCCTTTTTTAGAAACCCATTATTTAAAACTTAAAGATTTTACACGATTAGTGTTACTCAGTAAGGTTATAGTGAAAATAGTTTTGAACCTAATAAATATTTTTAAATTCCACATTTCATATTTAATATTTAGCCCCGTATATTATTAGTCACTTAGCTACCATCACGCAAGGCTCTATTTCCCATTTGTATTTAACAAAATATGTTATTTAAATAAACCTATTTATTTTTTAGTCTCGCCCTAGGCTTATAGGATAATTATATTGGACCAGAGATATATTATGTTTTGTTACGATTTTATGTTTCACTTTACGAGTTATTATCATGTTTACAATATATTAAAAATGAAATGTAAGGTTATTACGACATTAATTCACGTCCACATTTGCATTTTATACAAATTAGAAACCCGAGGTTTGGTGATTAGAATATTGTAATATACATCAGGCCACAGAGCCCGAAATTTAAAAGAGTATCGTTGAAAGAAACTCTCGAGTTTCCTTTATGGGTTTTTTAGCATTTTGTAGATTTTGATTTAAGAGATTCAAAAAAATGGAGAATATGAAGAAACTAAACAAAAGATATTTCATAAACAAAAATATTGATATTTACAAAACTGCCTAAACCGAGTGTTAAAACTGGTTTTCATAACGATATCTTGTCTTAAGCTTTGGGATCAGGGTGTCTCATTTTTTGAGTTCACAAGAGCATTTTTTTGTTTTTTCATACTAACGCTTTTAAAGGAAGAGTGTCAAAGCGCCCCCCCCCCAACCCCGAGAAAAAACATATTTTTTCTTGGAGCACTGTGATCTTGTCAGGCAATATTTGTTTCATAAAACGTGCTGGGTCGACTACACTGTGTACTATGCACTCCAGACTGGACTTTACATGTACATGTACATGTTGTACCGGCTCGTTTCATGCGACTTTAAGAGTGGGGTGGGCGGATTCTTATCATGATTTCCCCCCATAAATTCTTTAAAACTTTGAAACTTTTAAATGATAATAGGTTTTAACATTTCTGTACAATTTTACATTTTCATAAATGTTAATTCCCTAGTCTATGCACACTGCTCTCAGCTTATATAAATGTTAATTCCCTAGTCTATGCACACTGCTCTCAGCTTATATAAATGATAAACTCCCCTTAACTCCCTTCCCCCTAACTCACTTCCGCACCCCCTAAACTTAATTCCCCTTTAAACTCCCATTAACTAACCTCCCATCCCCAGCTCCCCTCCCTCCCTTCCCATCTTTTCATCTATTCATTATTATCTGTATGTCCAACTTGAAGTATAATAGATATATTATATTCCAACATTATTTCACATTTTTTACAACCTTGGGCGATAAACTTAACCTAGGGAGGTTTTTAAATGACGTAAACTGATGAACTGATTCTAAATAAAGTGGACTGATAGATTGATCTTTAAAAGTGAACTAATGAACTGATGAACTTATTCTAAATAATGTGGACTGATAGAAATATCTTTAAAAGTGAACTGATGAACTGATGAACTGATTCTAAATAAATTGGACTGATAGACTGATCTTTAAAAGTGAACTGATGAACTGATTTAAATAATGTGGACTAATAGACTGATCTTTAAAAGTGAACTGATGAACTTATGAACTTATTCTAAATAATGTGGACTGATAGACTAATCATTAAAAGTGAAATAATGAACTGATGAACTGATTCTAAATAAAGTTGAATGATTAGATGATCTTTAAGAGTGAACTGATGAACTGATGAACTTATTTAGATAAAGAGGACTGATGAAAATATCTTTAAAAGTGAACTATTGAACTTATTCTAAATAATGTGGACTGATAGACTGATCTTTAAAAGTGTACTGGTGAAATTAATGATTCTAAATAAAGTGAACTGATAGACTGATCTTTAAAAGTGAACTGATGAACTGATTCTAAATAAAGTGTACTGATGAACTGGTGAAATGATTCTAAATAAAGTGAACTCATGAACTGCAGATTCTAAATAAAGTAAACTGATAGGGACTGATCCTTAATAAAGTGGACTGATGGAATGATTCTGAATAAAGTGGACTGATGAACTGATGAACTGATTCTAAATAAAGTGGGCTGATGAACTGATGAACTGATTCTAAATAGAGTGGGCTGATGAACTGATTCTAAATAACTGAACTTATGAACTGATGGAATGATTCTGAATAAAGTGAACTTATTAACTGATTTAAGTAAAGTGGATCTGAATAAAATGTACTAATTATAAAAAGTAGATTCAAGAATTATAAATTGGATATAGTGGAAAAATCAATTAGATTTTATTTTATAGAATAACAATATTGATGTTGCAGCCTGATAACGTGATGTTGTTGATTATTAATAATATTGTTGTTGCTGCCTGAGCACATGATTTTGTTGATTATTAATAATATTGTTGTTGCTGCCTGAGCACATGATGTTGTTGATTATTAATAATATTGTTGTTGCAGCCTGAGAACGTGATGCTGTTGATTACTATAATATTGTTGTTGCAGCCTGAGAACGTGATGCTGTTGATTACTATAATATTGTTGTTGCTGCCTGAGCACATGATGTTGTTGATTATTAATAATATTGTTGTTGCAGCCTGAAAACGTGATGCTGTTGAATAGTCAGAGTAGAGTTGTTAAGCTCATAGACTTCGGGCTTTCGAGGAAAATATTACCAGGAGCAGAGGTAACATTCATCTATTTATTTAATATTACGCATATTTATCCATCTTATCAATCTATGCATCTCATCCTATCTCATTCTGCTCCATGGTACCCTACCCTATCCAATCCTCTTCTGTCCTGCAGTCTTATCCATTCAAATCGAATCTTGTTCTTTCTTATCTAATCCCATCCTGTCCTTTCCTTTCCAATCATCCAATCCCATTCAAATTTTATCCCATCATCATTTCCTATTCTATCCTATCCTATAATATTCCATACAACCCATTCTATCCTATCCTATACTAACCTATACCATCCTATCCTATCTTACCCTATCCATCCTCTCCTATCTCAATCCTAACCAATCCCAACCTATTTCATCCTTATCTATAGTATTTTTCTCCATCCTATCGCATTCTATGCAATCCTATCCCATCCTATCCCTGCTTCAATCCATCCTACCCCAGCCTATACCATCACAAACCATCCAAATCCATCCTTTCCCACCCTGTCTCATTCTATACCATCCTATCATGTACCACCCTGTTCCATCATTTCATATTAATACCTTTCCCATCCCGTTCCATTCCATCTTTCCCCATCCAATATCATCCTACCCAATCCTGACCCTTCTTTACCAACCCCGACCTATCCCATCCCATCTTGTCCCATTCCATTACATCTTATATTATTTTGCTCCATCAAATCTCATGCAACCCTTTCCATCTCGTTTCATTCCATCCTTTCCAAACTATTTCCAGCCCAGCCCACCCATCCTATCTTTTCCTATCCCATTCCTACTATCTAGATTCATCCTATCTTATCCAGTCCCATGCTTTCCAACGAAATCTTTTCTATCCGCTCTCTACCTATCATAACCTCCTATTCCTATCCTATTATTTTATATTCAATTCAATTCTATCCCATTAAATAATTGTATTCCTATATCATTCCTGGGGAACTCGTAGTGTATATCTCTTGAACTATTTTTTTATCTCTAGGTTCGGGAGATGCTAGGGACCCCGGAGTTTGTATCTCCTGAAGTAGTGAACTATGAACCTCTCTCTCTGAACACTGATCTATGGAGCATAGGCGTCATAACTTATATCATGTAAGCACAGATAATTAGAAGAGAGGAACAAATGGATATTCTGGCTCAGCGTAATAATACGTAGTTTTACGTAATTCTACGTGACATTAGTGTGTCATTATAGATTCACAACGAAACACTTTAAATCTTAAAATGATAAAACTCATCAAAACATAGTTGAAAAAACAAATATATTTTGGGGCCTGATGGAGTCGGAAAAAATCGATAATCTTTAAATGAAGGGTCATTTAAAATTACGCAAAAAAATCTCTTTTGATTTAAACATAATTTAATTAGACACGTAATTTCCGCCGCTTATTAAACAGTTTTTGAAATACCACGGGCATTGCCGGGCATTTAAGATTTTCAGTCAGATGACAAAAAAATAAAATCAATGTAAAATAAAGTATGTAAAATGTCGTTTCTGAATTCTCACTACTTTTTCAAACCCTTAATGTACAACGTAATTCTAAATGAGAAACAAAAACGTCTCGTTTTTTATGTATAATGAATTTAATATGATTATCAACCTGAATATATCAACCTGATTTTAATATTTGTATTGATCTTGCATACATGTGAATATATGGACCATGGCCCAACATCCTTTTCAAGATTTCATCTCAGATAAAACTAAAATTACCGGATAAAATATATGGACCATGGCCCAACTCCTCTCTACCCTGTATTCTCTACTATTTACTCCTCTCTACCCTGTATTCTCTACTATTTGCTCCTCTCTACCCTGTTATCTCTACTATTTACTCCTCTCTACCCTGTGAATGCTCTCATTTGCATATGAAAAACGCTTAAGCTTGATGATATGCACCAAATGGTTGGGTTTATTAGAATAAAACTGTCCGTATAATCGCGGTCTATAATCCTAGAATATGAATTTATGTTTCCACGTTTCCATATTATGTGCCGAGGCACGATAAACCAATTCGGGGCTCTCAACATTTGAAAAACATGGAGGTTTTGTTCTTAAAGTAAACATTTATACACGTAAATCAAAACTTAGTTTTCATGTAGAAGAGAAGAAAATAGATTTTATATGCGAAAAAAGGAAAAATATTGCCTTTAATGAATTAAACGCGAGTAAAATAGGTAATAAACTTATGTATACGTATAGCTAGATGTGCATGAGAGGTTTGGTGTTTTTCTGAACACTTTTATATTGGTTTTAAGCAACAAGTGTAAATAATTGGCAATCAGGATTGGCATGAAACGAGAAGAGGTGACAAGATTGCAAAAATGCATAACCCTGCATTGAACAAGGAGCACAAATTGGCAGGACATTGCAAAATGTTTAACAAGGTGTTGAGTGAAAAAAGAGTGTGTTAAAAGGACTTAAATCGTAATTTCAAATAATGACTCTCTATGCAAAGATGCAATGGCCGATTCACAACGGTACCCTTAACAGTTTTGCCTGATCAAGTATGAATTAGATATCCATATCCATGTTTATGATTTGGAAAACTGATTATATTCAGTTGGTGGTTTCTCCATCAAAGTAAATTTAGCGCATTTCTATTGCAGGGGAAAAATATAAATGATTTTTTAAAACTTAAACTTAAAAAAAAAAAAAAATATCTTCCACATTATTGATAAGGTAAAGGTTTCAAAGGTAACGTTGTGAATTGGGCACTGCCACAACTTGAAATTACGCTTACAGTCTCTTTAAGTAAAGATGATTGCAAAATGATGCTGATATCAAGGGTGTGGAATCTGCGGAATAATGCGGAACAGTCGAATTTAACAGAAATGAGGTGGGGGATGGTTTCTGTACATTTTAATGCGACGTAATAGACGGCCTTTAGTACCATGCCCAGGGAATACTCCATCCATACTAGAATCTCAATCTATAAAAAGATAAAAAAAAAAAACTCGAACACTTCAATTCTTTTTACTCTTGTTCGAGAGCAAATTCGATTGTCAGAGCTATTTCTATAAAGAACCAACCAAACTAGCTCTGATTCAAAACCAGGATATTTCAACTGTTTAAAGTACTCATCAATTTTTTTTACCCCGAGTCTGCTAAATATCTACAATGTTTTGCAAGATCCAATTATGTATTCAAAAAGATGTAATTACTTAATAGGAAAATCTCCTTTTTAGTTGAATAATTGTTTCTTACCAGCAATTATGTAGAATTAATGAGTATTACTTGCACCATAGCTCAATGTAGAATGTGCACTGCTCATGACTAAATCCTTATTGCTTACTCTTAACTTTAACGAACGGCAAAAACCGTTAATTTTCAAATCGTTTTTGAGAAAAAAAGTTTACGGTTGAAAAAAACGAAAAGGATGTTTTAGGAAATAACGGGGATTTTCGTTCTTGTTTAAGCTTAAATTTGGATGAAACTTGCATTTTAACGGTTTTAACTTACCGTTGACGAACGGCTTATAAAGGGTCGAACGGGCACGGCCCTTTAATATTAATCAACATATCTTTATTTGTTTAACCTCCGATCAGAGGAATATTCAGGGGTGGGGCTATTGGGGCTCAGCCCCCCCCCCCTCCCCTGGACAAGTGAAATCTATGGTTTTCAGAGGATTTTCAGGGCCTAACATTGACAAATTTAAAAGATCTTGAAATTATCCAGAATTTTCATTTTATTCTTGTGAAGACACTTTTATTGTCAGGCAAAGTATGACAGTTTCCAGGGCACGGAGTGCAGCTGTAAAATATCTAAATGTGATTTTTCAGGGGGGGGGGGGTGATCTTTTAACCTGTGCTCTACTTTTCGGAGAAAATGATTAAATACTTACAAATTTTAAGAATAAAATCTTATGGATAAAAACATGGTTTGATATTTTTTCCTTTTTTTGAGGGGTTAGACAATTTTTACATATTCTGAAGCTTCCTGCAATAGAACTGTAATTATAGATTGAGATGAGACAGGAGACTGAAGCGGGTGGGGGGTTGAATATTCTCAAGGAGACAAAATACGATATTTTTCGGTGGTGAGGGATGTAATATTTTATATTCGTTCTCACTCTCTTCCTTAATTATATCAAGGATAAACCCCGACCCCCTTAATCATACCTTCCCCCTTATCATCCTTTTCTTTCCCTACTTACAACATATCACTCCCATCTCTATATGACTCCCTTTTCATATTTTATTTCCTTGTTTATGTTTATACGCCTCCTTTTGTCCTTTCCTTCAACCCCCTACCCCTCATCCTCCTTAAACCCTCTACCCCTCATCCTCCTTAAACCCCCTACCCATCTTCCCATTTTTCCCTTTCCTGATTTTCTATCTTCCCCCCCCCCCTCCTAACAACCCTTCGTGTTCCCTTTATTATCTCCTTCTAACATCTTAAAAATATAATTTTACTACAAGGATAAGTGTTTAAGTTTTTTCCATTAATATTATTATTTTTCGCCTAGCTTTCAAGTTTTTCTTTTTCTTTAAGTTGTTTTACAATATTGTTTTTGAAACAACAAAACTGTTGTTTTTGGAAATTTTATTTTTGCATAAAATATTTTTTTTTTCATTCTCTTTTCAATCTTTTAAAAAAGCCGACTTTCGTTTCTGAAATGATAAAATTGATGTAGCAATAGCAATATCGATTTAATGCATAGAAGCGTATATACACATGACATGTCAATTGAATTAATGTTAGATTTTACCTTGAAAAGCTGAAACATCCTTATTTATCAAAGTCTTATCAAACCCTATAATTGAAACATCTTTCCCACACTATCCCCCCCCCCCGTCCTTTATTTGTAAGTAAAAATATAATTAGGAAATAAAACCATGAATTATTTTTTATCATCTTCCTGCTCCCCTCTGATTTAATTGAACTAATTGTGACTTTGATTATATACGAGTACATTGCACTAATTGTGGTTTAGATTATACATGATTAACCCTTATTTGGCTTTGAGGTGAAACCGCAAAGTCTATTTCATTTTATTCCATTTTGAATTTGACTAAAATTTTAGAGTACTAGAACTTTTGAGTTGCGTAACTCCGGATCAAGCATTGATCTCAATCTTATGAAGATTTACACCCGGATTAAATTAATCTTCTTCCATATTCCGTGATTATCATACCCTGCAGGGATAACTTTTATTAATGGATCAATTATTGCTCCTCAAGTTTGAAAGTGCCTACATTGGATATCAAGATCTAGCATTCAAGGTTTACAATGTCCCAACATAAGTTCCTCTGATCGGATAAAACTAAATCGTTTGTTCACGAAAAGTTTATCTGTCTGTCAGTCTTGGTTTAAAGGTATAATTAAGCAATATTTTATAACATTCTCTTATTTTCGCATAGATGCTAAACAATAGTTTATAATCGACTGATCAAATGTTCAAATTAACCTGTTTGTAATTATTTAAGGGTGTATGTAGTACGCAGGGGCGGACAAGAGCATTTGTGTCGGGGGGGGGAATCCTGGTTTTCAAGTACCCCAGCAGAGATAGGGTTACTTACTTATTACTGTGGTGTATAGGCTTCAAGGTTAAACAAAAGTGATGGAAACTTTTCTTAAAAAATATCTGTATTTTCATAGGATTTATTACATATATTATCAAATCTATATTTACACTGAAGGCAGTAGTGATAAAAGCTTTGTCAATGAAATTTCTTTAGTTAAGGGCAAAAGTGAGATTTTAAAGTATTTTTTATATGATGTAATTATTCTTAAATGGAATACATGCGTAGTTTTAAGTGACCCTCCATATATAGAGTGGCCAAGTCCGATGAACCCTTGAAACCTTCATTTCTCCCTCGTTTCTGAAGCAAGAAATGCATGAGTAACTTTTGTTGAGAAACCACAGACGAAAATAATCAGTTTTGAAAATGGGAAACATGGATATTTAATGCAATACTTGATCAGACAAAGCTCTGAATGGTAATGTTGTGAATCAGAATTAAAATTATGTCTGCAGTCACTTTTAAACCTTTAAGTTAATTCGATATTATTTAAACTGCTTTGAAGGTTTATGAACTTTGAAGAAATGTAAAAAATTTACAAAATGATTTTTTTAAAAAGATAATGAAAAGCTTTACTGCCCCCAAAATTAAGAATTCCAGGGTTTTTTCAACAAATCTCCGGTTGAAATATTAATTGAGACCCCCCCTGCATGCCCCTCCTCCCTGGGGGGGCACGCGTAGGGAGGCATGCACCCAGGCCCCCTCCCTCATACGCCTCTGGCAGTGCGTACATTGAAACAATTTAGTCAAAATGTACATATTAAATGTCCTTAACAGGACAACTTCAAATATTAAGTTTTGCAAATATGAAAGTTAAATTGAACCATTTTGAAATTTCTAATCGTCCAATCTTTTAAATCTAAATCAAAACAAGGCTTCCATATTGAAAAAAAACAAGTTCATGGTTGTACACATTCCAATAGTAGTAACCTACACAAGATACTGTCATACCTTTCCTATCATTAACCTTCTGTGAGATTACAGTTAAATACTTCATATCTACTTAATATACATATTTACATATGTTGCCTCTTTTCTCCTCGACAATAACCAACAGTAATAAGCTGAATATTCTCAGTTTGAAATATCTAATATCTACGACATAAATAGATATAGTGAAAGTGATAAGAAAATCAGAGTTTGGGGCAAAGACTCAATTCATTGCAAATGTAAACATGTTATAGAGATCTTTAGATTCAATGCTTGTAAAAAGATTAAACAAAGACGACATTTAAAACTTTTCATCTCTTTCTACATTATTAGGCAAAACACTTTTTAGTCATGTGACTCCCAGGAGAAATAAGAAAACGTTTAAAATATTTGACGGGGGGGGGGGGGGTTCTACCCCACTTGGTATACGCCCCTGATGAAAAATAAAGATTTTACCCAAGGAAAAATTTTATTTGTTTAGAAAACGTGGTTCTGTTGCTGAATGTTTAAACCATCCCTGGATTGCTCCAAAATCTGTTGGAGATATTCGTCTCAGACAGTCTTTGCAGATCAACATGGATAATTTCAGAGTTTTCCAGGTAGATATATATATATATATATATACAAAGTTTTCCATGTATATATAGATATTATAGTTTTCCAGGTACAGGGTGTTCCAATAAAAAGGGGAATTGAGAGACGTTTTTGATTTCCTATGATTTATAAATTACAGTAAGATATAAAGATATAAAGTCTATTGAGCTTGCCAAAATGTGGTCTACCTTCTTTGTATTTTTCAAAATGACGGAAATATTGAAGAAACAAACAAATTTCCAAATATTTCCGTTAATTGTGAAGGTAAAATATTGGTAGACCACATTTTGGGAATCGGCCGGGACTGGTAGTTTCGGTTTTAAACTATTAACTGCGTGATGTTACAAAGTTATGTTTAAGAAAAAATCCCGCATGGAACCAAGACAATAAATAAATCGTCATTTGATTCCCATGGTTATTTGGGCACCCTGTATATATATCAAAAATAGTGTTTTCTATGTATTCAGTGAGACAAATAAACTGTGGAATTTGAAGACGACATTTAAGCAATCCTGTGTTTTAAAGGAATTAAGTTTTTGTCACAGAATCCCTTTATCTATGCAACCTGATGGTGTAACCACTTGATATTTTAAACTTAAATCAAACAGAATTCAGATATGATTAAAATATATCTTCAAGGCCGGTCTTTGCCATTGGGTCGCAAAGATTGTGACAAAGACTCAATTCCTTTGTTATTAAGCGAATAGTTTTATCAGTAGCTGGCAGATCAACTTATTAAGTGAAATGTTGATTGAACTGTTTAGAATTCTAAAGTAAGTCGTCTTCCTACTTCTACGTTTTATAGGTCTCAATGTATATAAAAACATACACTGAGTTTTCCAGGTATATACAGGTTACAAACAAAGGATTAGATTAAAGACGACTGTACGGAATTTACAATCTGTTTCCTTATATTCATGATTTCCTGCAACTATAAAGAAATTTCAAATTCTAATAAGCTAATACTATATCTATATAATAAAACAAGACATTTGTATATATGCTCCCTACGGCCGGCCAAACGGCTGGACCGAATGGGCTGACATTCTGTAAGTGAATCCATGGGTGCCCCGGGGTAACATAGGCTAAACAAAAACAAAATTTTTTCTTTAAAAATCCAAAAATTTTTTCAAAAATAAATTTTTTTTCTCAAAAATCTATTCTAGAATTTTCCAAGGGCAACGCCGGTCCCTTCAGCTAGTTTACAATAATTTTGTACAATTTTATATTTATCTTCAATTAAAAACTTTAAAAATAGATTTTTTTTCTTTTTTTTTCTTTGCCAAATTAACCTTATTCAAGTCAGGAGACTTGATTCAATCTTGAGATCGTCATATTTAAGGGTTTCAAGTCGTCTTTACAGTCTCATCCTTTAATGTATTATAACTCGGATATTTCAGCTGTTTAGCTGTTTAGCTGTTTCAGCTGTTTCAGCTGTTTAGCTGTTTCAGCTGTTTCGAATTATATATTATATTATATATTTGAGCTGTTTCGAATGAGCAAAATGAGAAAAATTCTTTTCAAAATTAATATCTTTAATAAAAATGTATTTTTAAAGGTTTTAAAACTTATTCTTATCTCTAAATGAAAAACAACATTCCTCGTTAATTTGGGGTTCGCTGCGTGTGCATCTAATACGCAAAAAAGAATCCGCTGTGCAAATATAAAACCTAATCTATCTGCGTTACACTTAATTAATTCAATTCAATCCAATTTAATTTCATTAGGATTATAATTAAAGCTTGACTTTAATGATTATAGTAATCTGTGTGAGATTAGACCCATTAATATGTAATTAGTCTTCACACTGTAGAATAGGATTTACAAATAGTTCATGGTTTAATGGGATAAACTTTCTCCATTCAATTCTACCTTTTCTTACGGGCTTGAATTTAGAATCAAGAATTTCTTATTTTGTTTATTTTAATAATAACTTCAATAAAATTGTGTAATGTATTGAATGACGTAAAATAAAGTATTGAATTCATGGGAAAATTATGATTTTTATTTTTTCCACCCCATCAAATATCAAATATTTTTCCCTTCAAGCAAAGACTGTATTTACTAAAATCTCTACTAAAAAAGATGATTGACTCTATTTTAAGAGTTTTTAAGACAATGCAAATAATCTTGAATAAATTTAGGATTTTCCTTAAATGTCCTTATTATCTAAAAGAAATAACTAATTTATATTTTTATCTACAGTTAAGTTCAAATATAAAGAGACATCGGAAGAACTAATAAAATGTCGTATTCTTAACTTTCTGATAATAGAATGCTGAAGATATTTAGTTTATTAATTGACTGATTGAAAAACTAACTTTTTCCGCATTTTCATGGCTATTTATTTATTTTTTGGAATTACTGATATTTACGTATAACAGTATAAAACCCTTTAAATAATTGTCAAGACGCCATTTCATAAATGCTTTCGATGGCTCAAAATCTCTGGGGTAAACTGTATTATCACTGATCTTATTTCCTAACCCATTTTATAATTGAGTTGCATACTTGAATTGAATACAATATGGCGGAACATCTTAACTTTTAAATTTCGTTGAGAAAATTGTATTCAGTACCTTTGTTTATATATTCGAATAAGATAAAGTATAGCATTAGTCTATATTTTTTCTAAGATACCATTGTTTTAGATTAAATGTTCAATAAACAATAATGTTATATTCTAGGCACGAAGACGATGGAAGCACAGTATGAAGGTCGTCTCCTTGTGTAACCGTCTGTCAAGAAACCGGTTACGCTCGCTGTCAGGAGAGGGCATTAGTGAAACTGGACGGGATAGTCCTGTTGTCAGCATAGAACCTGGAACCATGGCAGCGGTAAGTAAAATTAATGATTTATGTTGAAAGACGACATTTGGAAATATCGTTGAACGGAGAAAGGGCGGGGGGCCGGGTTCTCAATACAATTAATTTTGAATTTTCATGACTTGAACAAAGCATTCATTTGCCTGTGGGGTGATTCACAGGGTTTTGCGGTTTTTAACTGGAGATATTTTGCAAATGGGAAACTTCTACACTCTACACTCTACACTCTACACTCTACACTCTACACTCTACACTCTACACTCTACACTCTACACTCTACACTCTACACTCTGCACTCTACACCCTACACTCTTCACTCTACACTTCATAAGAAATAAATTCAACATTAAAAATTAGATAAATGTTACAATTGAAGGAAACAATCAGTGTCGATTTTTCTGATTTTCTTTATTCTCACTAATACGCCTGGTGGTTGCACCTGTAGATTTAACAAAATTAGAAACCACTAAAACCTAACCGCGGAGCTACTGGTGTTGTATAAAATGGTTTTTGGTTCAATGTGACGTCACTAATTGTTTGCGCAGTGTCCGTCAGGTGGTTTATTGAACCGGAAACTCAATTTGATAGAATAATTGTTATATGAAGATATTTAATTTATATCCCCGGGGAGCGAGAAAATCTAAATGGTTTTTAAATTGACAATTTAAATCCGTGTCGGTCTGTGTCTGGTGTTTTTCTAGTATTTGTCTTTTAGACCTTGGCAAAGGTTTAAACTGTTTGGTGCCAAATATTAGATAATATTATGTGTAATAATAATAAAACTATCAATAGTGATCAATAGTAAAAAAATCTGAATACAGGAATTTTTTCTTTGTACACTTGGAATGGTCCAATGTATAAAACATAAACAGAAAAGAAATAGTTCAGTGAATTAACCTTATCATTTTTTAACATAAAATAAGATACCAGAGGAATCTAAAGAATCTTACATTTTACACGTTTTTAATGTTAATTAGTTTAGAAGAAAATAAAATTCATTAAGATCTGAGGCTGACATCTTATACCTAATGTTTTAATGTGTTAAAATGAAATATTTAAACAGAAATTTAATTTAAGAATTTGATCAAAATTTCTAAAAATATAAAATTTATTTTCAGATTTAAAGGAAACCTTTTCATTATTTAAATCCATATTTTTGCATAAATTGTTTCAAATATTTAGGAAATTGTTGGAAAGCAAGAAAAGGGGCCGTTCAAGAGAACGATTTTTGGACCCCCCCCCCCCCCTCCACTCCTATCAATTTTTTAAATTACCACTTATTTTTCCGGGGGGGCGGGGGGGGGGTCCAAAACTCGTTATCTAGGAAATTACCCATGAAAATATTAAAGTAGCAGCAATTAAGTAAAATGAAAGAAGGAATAAAAAAAAAACACTGGAAACCGGAAAACCTTGATTAAATTGTCGTCTTCTTTCATTCTTTTAATTAAGAATGCCGCTATTGATTTGGTAATTTTTTCTCAGTTTTAACAATTATGTCTTCTTTAAAATGATATATCTTTAAAGATGTTCAGAGATTAAAATCTTAGTTAATCCTGTGATCAAGTAGCAATCCCGTATCCTTTTATTATCCAATTATAATTTCTCCTCGATATTCCGTGATGATACCCAGAACGGAATAGCTAAAATTGAGTGATGAAAACTAAAAGTTGTAAATTGAAAAGTTGTAAACAAACGGTTTCAATCAAAACTTTTTATCTTAGAAAGAACCGAACACACTTTGAGAAACAAATTAATTAAAAAATTTCTCATTCAGTATGAAAGAAAGAATAAGGATGACAGTCATTCCACTGTGTTATATGGTTACCATTGCATGAGAAGCAATCAGTTCATTATTTCCTGAGAACTTGGTTTAAAACTGAACTTGTCAGTGTCCAGGATTTGACAAGGAGAAACGGTTCAGTGTGTTACGGTTGGATTCATCAAATGTGTCTCTAGATGAATCCTGTTTTTGTTTCTTGCTTTTTCCCTGGGAGTAGATAAAAACCATAGACGGAAAATAATAATTCTGCTCTAGGAGTATTTGTAAAGATTATGAGATAAAAGAAGGATATCACGAATTGTGTCTTGGAGTATAGATAAATTGTATATAAGACGACGAAGTAAAAACCACGAATACAATTAATGTAGAAACTGAAATATTGAATACTGAAAAACGGAGAATAATTGAAGAGCCTGTATTTGTATTATTGTCTCTATAGTGCTCTATACTTTATCCATACTCCTTGAATAAGATGTGTATGGTCTTTTTTTGTACTCTTCTTTTATCTATACTCTTTGAATAATGTCTCATCAAACTCTCGTATATCTATATACTCCTTGAATAACGTCTCTACGCACTCTCCTTCTATATATACAATTTGCTTGTCTGTCCAATAAATGTCAAAACGGATGAACCGAACGGGCCTAGTTATCTATACTCCTTAAATAAAGTCTCTATGCACTCTCCTTTATCTATACTCCTTGAATATAGTCTCTATGTGCACTCTTCTTTAGCTATACTCCTTGAACATAGTCTCTATGCACTCTTCTTTATGTATACTCCTTGAATAAAGTCTCTATGCACTCTCCTTTATCTATACTCCTTGAATAAAGTCTCAATGCACTCTCCTTTATGTATACTCCTTGAATAGAGTCTCTATGCACTATTCTTTATGTATACTCCTTGAATAGAGTCTGTATGCACTCTCCTTTATGTATACTCCTTAAATAAAGTCTCAAAGCATTCTTCTTTATGTATACTCCTTAAATAAAGTCTGTATGCACTCTCCTTTATGTATACTCCTTGAATAAAGTGTGGTCCAGGTAGTTGAAGTATAAAGGTAGAATATAAGGTGGTGTATATCGATCAGTACTGGATTCAACTTCAACACTAGAGATTGTTATTTTACATTGGCTACTCTCCTATAGTACATTAGCAATAGTTCAGATAGATAGATAAACATATAGATTAATAGATAGATAGATAGATAGATCAAATGTGCAACAAGTCTAAAGTAAAATCTAAAAGAAAAGATCTTGGTACAAACGTTAATCAATTTGAATTCTATAATTCCTTGCAAAAATTCGCCCGACGAAATGTTCAAATTTTGAATTTTTAACTTAAAGGGGTTGTCTGCGAATTTGAAGTGACCTTTATTTGAAAATAAACGTTGAGGTGATATTTCTTGTTTCAAGAAGATTAACAGTCCTTTAATGGTTTAAGGATTCGAATGAATGATTTCAAATAGATAAAGTTGGTAGTAGTAAATTCTTATACTTTAATATTGGGATTTTTAGATTTTAAATTACTGTAAAATAATCTAATATCTGTTAGAAAGACTCCATAAATAAATTTTATTGTACAAATAATATTAAAATCAAATATGGTAAAGTAACAAATTGAGTTATCATAATGAACTATAGGATGATTAATACTTAAATTAGAAAATTTAGATTTGTCGCAAAAACCTAATTCTATAATGAATTATATAAAAAATTATAATATAATATTCTAATTATAATTCATTTATTCTAAGAATTTTAGCCCATCTATATCAAAGGATAGGATTTACATTTCCCCCCTGAATTTCTTGGAACATCATTTTTAAATCCTTCGTCATTTTAAAGCAAACTTTAAAAAATAATTTGGTATTCTGTATAATGTCAAAAAAACTAAACATTCCCTTTAATACTAAATATTTGATATTATAATGCATTTTGTTTTAAAGTTTCTCTGAGAGTCAAATTCTAGTTTGAAAACACAAAACTAATTTAGTTAAGGAAATAAAAAAAAACATTTCAGATGTTTTCTCATAAAGTGAATTAGTGAACAATGACTGGGTTAAACTCATAAGTTTAAAGATGGTAAGAGTTTTCTGTATTTTCTAACTTAAACATTTTATCCATTTTTTTGTGAATTCCATTTATCCTAATCTTATTCCATTTTTTTCTTCTTCCTAATTTTCAATTTTTCCATCCTGCTATAAATATATTTTTTTTCAGACCTTTATTGCTTATCTCTCGCTTTTTAACCAATCTATTCTGTTCTTATTTTCATTTTCCCTTCGTAAATTAAATTAGAATATGTATTCATAGCAACTTAGATTTTTTTCTCCATCATGTTTCGTTCCTCGTCTCTTCGACCCCCCCCTCCCCTCCCACCCGTCTCCCTGTATATTCAGTAAACTTTCATACAATAAGCTTCAAATATCAATGCATGTATAAATGTATAAGCATTAAATAATAAAATATAATTTATTTTACTCTTTAAACATACTCCACAATTGCTATTATAAATTTATTTTAAACTTAAAGAGTTCGAATGCAAAATAACTTTTAAATGGGTTGCTAGCAATATTGTCTTCTTAATAAAATTTAAGGATTTTTTGGGATATTGCTTATTCTAATATTTCAACTCGTCGGGTCGGGTTTTTATGTGATAAGGATTTTAGGAGATTTATTCTGAACTAAAGGAGATTGTATGACATCTGTATTTTATGGTAAAAGAACTCCTGGTATCCAATACTACTGACTACTTAGGGACCATTGTAATAAGGAAAAAGAAAGTTTTTAGTTCTAATCTTTTTATTACACTTCAATAACTTTTAACCATTTAAACCAATTTAAACTTGATTTAACGACTTTTCTTTTAAAGAATTATAAAAGTTATTTGTTTTGCATGATATTAAATTTCAAGCGAATATAGCTAACTAGAAATTCAAGGCGCTTCGCGCCCTTCTTTCTAGCCTTAGAGGGTGCTTCGTGCCCATCTTCTAAATTAATTGTGAACATGTTCTCTTTGTGTACATCGTAAAACAAAACAATAATAATTCGCGGATTATCACAAAAAAATTTCGCGGATTTTCAAAATTTTCAAAATTTAATGACTATCGAATTTTGATGAAGACAAATATTTGAAATTTTGATCATTCATAAACCTTCCCTGGAGTCCCTAGATGTCCCACAAAAAACTTGGGCCCGATCGGTTCAGCAGTTTTGACGTTTATTTGATACAAACAGACAGACAGACAAACAGACAGACAAGCCAAATTTATATATAGATATAGGTATGGTTAGGTAAGTTAATGTAAGTTAATCTAGGGTAAGGTAAGCTAAGCTAAGCTAAGCTAAGCTAAGCTAAGCTAAGCTAAGCTAAGCTAAGCTAAGCTAAGCTAAGCTAAGCTAAGCTAAGCTAAAGCTTAGCTAAAGCTTACCTTAGCTTACCTGAAGGTTAGGTAAGGTAAGGACGGGTATGGAGGTAGATTCTCCGGTAACCATGTCTCCTCTCTTCTCTGCTCTTAGTTCTCCGTTAATAACAGTAGTAAACCATAAACTACTGGAGAGTAAAGACTCCGAGGGAGGGGGGGGGGGGGGAAAATCTATTTCAATTACTAAATTATCTAGTAATAATTTAATAATAACTGTATGAGATGACTGCAGTACGGATTTTTTAGCTTAATTCCGAATTGTTTCTATTTTTCTTTAACGTAAAAAGACTTATTTCAACCTCAGATTTAAATATATCGAAATAGTTTTTTTATTTTGTTTTTAATGAGGTTTTTGTTTATTTAAACATTTTTGTTACAGAATATGATGAAGATTGAGAAAAGGGTAAACCTTTTAGATTAAAAAACCCGGAATAGAATTATGAAAAAAACAAAACAAAAAAATTCAATGAAAATGAAAATGAAAGTAATTAAAACACCCCAAAAAACTATTCGCTAGTCAGTTTTGGAAAACAAAAAATAAAAATGTCTTTTTCAAAAATAAAATGATTCCATTGGATTTTTTAAAGATGAAAAGATTTTTAATACAAAGCTATGCCCTTAACAAAATCCATAATCAAATATTGACTTTGCACATTAATTGTTTCATATTTTTTTTGTTTGAAAAATAATAAACTGCATGCGATGGGAAATACATGATGATGAATACACACAATTCTAGAAAGAAATTATATCAATGAAAAATGTTTTATCTCTACGCCATGTTGATCATTGTAGATATTACAATATTTTATTGAAACTGTTAATCTCTAAATAATTTTTTTTGTTGCAAATAATCTTTAGAATTTTTGTTTTAACAGTTTAAAGATTTATGATAATTTCAATTGATATTAAAAATAAAAATAACTTTGTGTTGTCTGCTGTATTCTATATTTGTTTAATATCTGGTTGTATAAGATGATAGCTTTGTGTTGTCTGCTGTATTCTGTATTTGTTTAAATTCTGCTTGTTTAGGATGATAGCTTTGTGTTGTCTGCTGTATTCTGTATTTGTTTAAATTCTGCTTGTTTAGGATGATAACTTTGTGTTGTCTGCTGTATTCTGTATTTGTTTAAAATCTGCTTGTTTAGGATGATAACTTTGTGTTGTCTGCTGTATTCTGTATTTGTTTAAAATCTGCTTGTTTAGGATGATAGCTTTGTGTTGTCTGCTGTATTCTGTATTTGTTTAAAATCTGCTTGTTTAGGATGATAACTTTGTGTTGTCTGCTGTATTCTGTATTTGTTTAAAATCTGCTTGTTTAGGATGATAACTTTGTGTTGTCTGCTGTATTCTGTGCAGTTGAAGAGGATAACGTGGCTGGATTAGAGGAACTACTGTCAATGGCCAATATAGATATCACACAGGTAAACAGTGGTAATCATTCTTTGATTAAGAGATTGTCAAGTTATTTCAAGCTGCCCGATTAACAACGGTACCCTGTAAATTTTAACTGAATTAAAATGATGGGGATATCCTTTTCGATAAAACGACATCTTTCTCATTTTAATAAAAGGTTCTGGAGTGTAGTTTTGAAAAGGGTCTGTGCTGTAAAAAGTATAAGATCATTGAATTTAGAACATACATATATTACATACGTGCACAGTCCCTCTTTATTGTCGTTGTTGCCAAGGGGGGAGGAGAGTTATTATATCTTATCTGAATTATTTTGATCGATCCAATCTTTCCTAAAGAGTACTTGACACGAGGCTCTCACAACGGATTTATTTTTCAAGCTTTTTATTTCTTTTGTTTTTGTAGAAAAGAGGTTTGAACAGTTTTTTAAATAACAAATAACCTTAAACAAGAAAATAATAACGCCTTAGTGTCAATTTTTATTATTTATATATCCACTCCCTCCCCCACTCGACCCTCTTTACATCGCCCACGAGGCTCCAAACCTCTTAATTAAATAATCTTTAATAAAATGATGGATAGGTTTAATTAGCTAATCAAACTTCTATATTCTATATTATCTCTTCAACTAATTACATATAATTGCAGACGAATAAACACGGTGAGGGTGCAGTACACATTGCTGCAGGGCTTGGTCGGCTAGATATATTAAAGGTAAATAAACAATTATATCGTTGCATCCTGATGATGTGCAGTTTGACCTCGGATTTATATGAATTTTGCAATGTCATAAAGTCAAAGTTTAGATTTAAAATTCGGTGATGGGATGGACCAAACCTCTAGCTGTAGAGTAAAAAAAGTAGATGTTAGTTTCACATTTATTGAAAATATATTTCGGTCTGGGTTGACCCTCGTCAGTTCTAACGATATAATAACCATCAAAATCGATAAAACAAATTGTTAAAAACCACAAGAAAATAAACAATCAAAAAAGATTTAAAAAAAATGGGGCTGGGGGGGGGGCGGCTTGTTTAATGAGAGGTATTTAAACCTTTCAAGGAATTGGACATAAGCAATACTCTTTTTTTAAAGTTTGGATTATCAAAGGTTTCTACCACCAGGTTGCAAAGATAAAGGGATTAGAAAATAAGGGTTTACCGTTTATGCCTCAAAACGGGGATTTTTTATTATGTTACAAGTTTGGTGTTTTGCCCCTTTACTAGGGATAACCAGGAGTAGGAAATTTAAAAATTAATATTTGCTACTCGAATTTCAGCAAACTTGTTAAATCATATTCTTCATTTTAATTTGTTACTATAATTGTTTCATAAACAATAGTGAACCGGGTGTTGAAAATATATTTTTAACCTTGAAGTACCTTTCGTTTAAATTCGCCTGTTTCACAACGGAATATAAAATGGAAGATATCGTCGTTTTGTTAGTGGCTAGTTCTTTTCAGGGTTCCTTTGCGAATTGGACACTTTATAAATAGAGAGTCATTTCAAATTAAATTTACAAATTCTTGTAGATAAGATTATTGTGTTTCAACATTATCATTTGTCAGTTCTTAAACTTTCTGGAGAATTCCTTGTTCAGAAGTTTTAACAAATTTTAGAAATAAATCCGCTTTCATCATTTCTCCGCGGCTTATATTAAATATATTCTATGGTATTAGCTAGTTGCTAAGCATTCCTTTCATGAACTTCTAGGGGGGTAGGTTTCCCTTTCATGAACTTCTAGGGGGGTAGGTTTCCCTTTCATGAACTTCTAGGGGGGTAGGTTTCCCTTTCATGAACTTCTAGGGGAGTAGGTTTCCCTTTATTCCGGGGCAGAAATGTATGCAAGATCCCCACCCATTGCCAGTCTAAGAAATTATAACAGACTTTGCTTAAAACATATTCATACTGTTTTATTTTTCTTATTTTTTTATTTTGGAATTGTCTACAATTAATCGAAAAATTTGATTTCAAATTCAAGCTATATAATTATAGAATCGAACTTGGAAAAAAAATATTTTTGGGGAAAAAAAATTTTTAAAGAAAAAAATTCGACTTTTTGAAGATGAAACAAATTTCGGATTTTTTTTCCTATGTCACCCCGGCCCATACTCAAGGGTTTCCTAAAAAGTCTGCCCATTCGGTCCAGCCATTTGGCCAGCTATAGCTAACATATATACAAATGAATTTATATGAGCAAAGAGCTTTCTTATTTAGATATATTTCACTAAAAATTAAACACTGGGGTGTATGTTTTTAAGAATTACGCCCCCCCCCCTCTACCTGGGGGATGAATGATTTTAGAAAAAATCCTTAAACATCCTTAACATCCTTAAACATACATGTTAATTTTCCCCTAAAATCATTTATTTTATCCAATTCAACAAATAAAACCACAAAAATATTTCTGGGGGAAACAAATTAGGAAGAAAATTAACACCCCTGAATATGATTGAATTGAAGGATACTTGTTTTTTTTTCAGTTGTTATGTACACACGGGGCTAACCTGGGGCAAATTGATCGGCAAGGAGACAGTGCTCTTTACTGGGCAGCGAGGCAAGGACATGCTCAGGTCATAAAGTAAGTATATTTTATTAATCGGTCCTTGTCATAGATTTATTTAACAAATCAAATCAATTCTTTATTTTAAAACACCATGTCAATATCTTCGCGTAAACTATTGGAAGTACTGTACAGTGTACGTCGTCGTAATTTCAAGTTACTGTTCATTAAAAAAGAAGAGGGACATGTCCGATTCACAACGGTACTCTATAAACCTTTATTTGATCTAAAATGTGGACGATATCGTCGTTTTTCTTGCTTGAAAAGTGTTTAATAATGCACTGTTTCTGCAGTAGAAATGGTAGAAAAACCACAAATGAAATAATACATTTTGAAAGAGACAAACATTGATTATTGATTAGGTAAAGCTGTTTAGGACACCGTTGTTATAATAGGTCATGTCCCAATGTTTAGGACACCGTGGTTAATAGGTCATGTCCCTCTGTTTAGAACACCGTGGTTAATAGGTCATGTCCCTCTGTTTAGGACACCGTTGTTAATAGGTCATGTCCCTCTGTTTAGGACACCGTGGTTAATAGGTCATGTCCCTCTGTTTAGGACACCGTGGTTAATAGGTCGTGTCCCTCTGTTTAGGACACCGTGGTTAATAGGTCATGTCCCTCTGTTTAGAACACCGTGGTTGATAGGTCATGTCCCTCTGTTTAGAACACCGTTGTTAAAAGGTCACGTCCCTCTGTTTAGGGCACCGTTGTTAATATGTCATGTCGCTCTGTTTAGAATACCGTGGTTGATAGGTCATGTCCCTCTGTTTAGGGCACCGTTGTTAATAGGTCATGTCCCTCTGTTCAGAACACCGTGGTTGATAGGTCATGCCCCTCTGTTTAGGACACCGTGGTTGATAGGTCATGTCCCTCTGTTTAGGGCACCGTTGTCAATAGGTCATGTCCCGCTGTTTAGGACACCGTTGTTAATAGGTCATGTCCCTCTGTTTAGGACACCGTTATTCATAGGTCATGTCCCTCTTTTTAGGACACCGTTGTTAATAGGTCGTCCCTCTGTTTAGGACACCGTTGTTAAAAGGTCATGTCCCTCTGTTTAGGACACCGTGGTTAATAGGTCATGTCCCTCTAAAAATAAAGAGTCAATTAAAGATTAAGACTTCACCTTTTAGCGGCGGAAAAAATCAGTTCTTCTTCTGTTCAAAGTAGAAAAACATAATAAAAATTTACACCCAAAATATCACATTTATTTGAAAATTCAACAAAATCACGATGTCTTTTCATAATATTATTTGTTATACTATTCCTAAGCATTGATTAAATAATTAAAATTAAAAACTCAACTTTTTATTCAGGTTTTTAGTTGAACAGGGGGTTCATGTAAATCAACAAAATAAGGTAATTAATGAAATTAATTTTCTTTTTGCGCGCAATTCTTTTTATTTTTCAGATTTTATCTTAATTTTAATTGATTATTTTTTTTGTTGCATACTTTATCTGTTCACAAGATTTTAGTCGATGTTTTTATAAGAGTTCAATTTTTACATTTCTATTTATATTTTTACGTTGATTTTTAAGAATAAATATGCTTTTATTCATTTAAAATTCGCTGATAGCCTAAAAAATGTTTAACCTTTTGTTAAAAAACTTTGCTCTTTCATGAAAACTTTTTTGCTATTTTCCAATTTTTGTTAGATCTTGATTTTTAATTTTAATTTTAATTTTAATTTTTTTATTTAAATTATTCTTTTTAATTTTTTTTTTTTTTTTTTCATTTTTAAAGAGTGGAGAGTCTTGTTTACATGCTGGCTGTAAATATGGGCATGCAAGTGTACTGGAGTACTTATCATCTATACATACTAATATAGATCTACTAGACAATGTAAGTATACTGGAGTACATCTGTACATACTAAAATAGATCTACTAGACAATGTAAGTATACTGGAGTACTTATCATCTATACATATTAATATAGATCTACTAGACAATGTAAGTATTCTGGAGTACATCTATACATACTAAAATAGATCTACTAGACAATGTAAGTATACTGGAATACATCTATACATACTAATACAGATCTACTAGACAATGTAAGTATATCGGAGTACATCTATACATGCTAATATAGATCTACTAGACAATGTAAGTATACTGGATTACATCTATACATACTAATTTACAAGAAATATATAGACCAGGAAGTGCCATATCTAATGGGTCAAATCTGTGTACTGCAGTGGAGTAGATCAAAACAAAGAATTCAGGGGCAACGCATCATTTTTGAGGGAAAAGGGTCCAAGGGGGGAAATAAGAATATATTCCTATTGTATTTTCCATATTGACCAGAAAGCCAAAAATCATAAGTATTCGCTCTAACTTGATATATTAACTTGTTTTTTTGTTGGACATTGTAAGTGTCCTGATTTCAGAACTTCAAATACCACCCCTAAAACCAAATCTTACAATTTTTGCCCAGTTTTAACACATAACCCCTGAACAACAAACTTTCAAATTAACATTTTTACCGCCTTTTTACCGCCCCAAGATTCCCCCAACAGAGGGACGTTCCGTTACTTTACGTTCCTTGGGACAATTAAGTAAAATACCCGCTCTGCGAAGTTTTCATGAAAAAGACGCTTATTTTCAAAAAAACGATAAAATTGTTTACACCTACTTTTATGGGAAATTAAATTTTATTTACCACGGGTTCCCTTTACTTCCCTGTAAAGTATTTAAAAAAGATTATAACTTAATCCATTTGTAAATATTGAAGAGTTTCAGTTTTCTTTCTCTAAAGTGTCGAGTTTAAAGATTTCTGATTTTCAATTGGTCAAATCTATAAACTATAACCGACAAGAAATGGGTTAAAGAAAGGCTTTATGTCTTTAAAAAAAAATAAAACTGAATAAATTTTTAAAAGTACATCCGGGGGGGCTTTACCATACCCCATTCTGATTTATTTTCTCATCTCAGTCCAATCTTTAGTTGTACGTGAGTTTAAATGTCAAATATTTTCAGCATCGTGAGTCCGGATTACATATTGCTTCTTGGCACGGATATCCCCGGATAGTGGAGATACTTTGTCAAGCCGGGGCTAATCTTGACATCAAAAACGAGGTAAGCCAGAAACTGGATTTGAAACTTGATTTTCGATTCCCTATATTTTTGCAAACCAATGTCGTATTCCAAAAGTATTTCAAACATTAAATTTTGTTTAGGCAAAATAATCTAAAAATCAGATTTGAAAGATAAAAAGCCAATTTTTTTATCTCAATTTAACCTTAAGTTATTGTTAGGCTGCAAGCTGTAAAAATCTTTCAGCATTTTACAAATTACTCTTTTAAACTAGAAATATGATATAGTAATAATATGTATACATGTCTACAGCTACTATAAAAAGTTAGTTACAGTAAGGTAAAATCATTTTAAAGTCCACCCAGTTTAAAAAATCGATGCAACTTTTCATACAGTGATAACCAGAAAACTGTAGAAGAGGAAGACAAAATTAAAGCAATTATACTGACTGCATGCACTTGATAATGTTACAAAGCATTTAGCTTTACAAGTAAGTTATTGGAGTTAAAATGGGTCTGTTTACACTGCACAAATGCCTCACGTTCTTTGAATTATTTAAAGTCATAACTTGACTCTAAAAGTCGACTTCCTATTCCAGAGTTTTCTGGTTTTCACTAGCTGTTTGGATTACAGTGAATTAAACCTGCTAATTGGGATCGAGAGAAGAGATTGAGTGAGGGATGTGAGGGGGGGGGGTAAAGGGGGATTATAGATTTTTAATGAAACAATAAACCCTGAATTGGTTGTTAACCAGCTTATTTTCAACCTTTAATTAATTCTCATGTTTTCTTAAAGAAAATATATACAACATATATATATATATATATATATAATAAAACAATAGATAAAACGTAGATAAACCACTGATAATGATATCTTCATCAAATGTTTAGACAGCCTCGACTTGGTATTTGGGTTTAACCTCTCACTAACTTTTTTGTAACCCTAGACATATAGATTTCTAAATTGAAATTTTTAAATTGGCAGTTTACACTGACATAAAATGAATAAAAGAAATGATTGATCACTAGAGGAAAAAGGAAGATCATATTTATGATTATATTGTATATAAATTGATATATTTGTGTTGGGGTTAATCATTTTCTTATTCTCCCCAGGGGTTTTGTATAAAAAGTTATCAACCTTTTCCAGGATAGATACGGAGAATAAGGTCTAGAGTTGAATAAACTTTGATTAACAATTTAGAAAGTTCTCTATTGTATATTGTATATTGTGTATTGTATATTGTATATTGTATATTGTATATTGTATATTGTTTATTGTATATTGTATATTGTATATTGTATATTGTATATTGTATATTGTATATTGTATATTGTATATTGTATATTGTATATTGTATATTGTATATTATATATTGTATATTGTATATTGTATATTGTATATTGTATATTGTATATTGTATATTGTATATTGTATATTGTATCAACCTTATTTATAACTTTTGGTCTAGCAGGATTCATAAGTTTATTTCATAAGTCTAAAACCTCAGATTGCAAAGATATAGGGGTCAGAAAATTAGAGTTGGTGGCGAAGGGTCAGTTCCTTTTTTAATTAGTTTCGTAAAAAATATTGATTGATTTATTTTAGGAGGAAGAGACTCCTCTGCATGTTGCAGCGGGTCGGGGACATATTGAATGTGTTCGTTGTCTCCTTGAAGGGGGTAAAGGAGGTTCTGCCCCACTGGACTCCCAGGATAGGAGTGGATCAACTCCTTTACACCTTGCTCTCAGGTGACATCCTTATCTTTCTAGAGCTCGATATTCACGAAGGGCACTTTTAATTTGAGGATGCTTAATCTCCTCACTCTATTTTAGTTATTCTTCCCCTGATCAAAACTCCTTTTAACCAATGACTGGGTATGATTACCATGATGCGGTATATCGAGTAAAGATTTAACTAATGTGGAGATTAACTTGTATCTTTATTTATTAGGCTCGTCTGTTTTAGAGTTGTGTATTTGATTTTTTGTTATTTACTTGTAACCAGAAACGTCTAAACGGCTAAACTAAACCCATCAGAGCTCGGAACTTTAGAATGGTGGATATTGGGATTAATGCTTGATCCACTCTTTTTCTTAATCTCCTGATTAAAAATTGCTTGTTCTCCTCATGAATTTAATCTCCAGATTAATTAACAGATCGGGATTAAGGATATCACATACTAAAGTTTTCTGCTCAGATCTACTTTTATAAGCCATGAAAGGTTTATCTCTGGTCAAAATGATGTAACTTTTCTTCAATATAATTCTTTAAGAAAATACAAAAGAAAGTAAAAAAATCATGAATTTTTACTATGTTATTATTTCAAGATGTGCTAAATAAATGTTTATGTCTGGCCAAAAAAAAAAAAAAATTTCTTCAAATTAATTCTTAAAAAAATACAAAAGAAAGCAAATAAGTTCCTTAATTTTTTATATTATTATTTCAGAATGTGCGAAATGTGCAGATTATTATATTTAGATTAATTAAGTTAATTTTCGTCAACTTGTCTTTCAATATTGCGAAAGGGTTGAAAGCTAAGCTTTGAATTGTGGCAATCAAGAAAACATTTCTTGTTAATTGATTTTATGTTTCTCTCAAAACCAAAATTACGCTGCACTGAAATCCAGTTGTTAGCACAAAAAAACTCTTTAACATTTAAGAATGCTAACATGTACTGATTTTTGTTGTTGTTGTATATATTACGTTAACTAATTGTATTGTACAGGAGAGGACATGTACATGTTGCGATGCTGCTGTTGCATGCAGGATCAGATTTTGATATACAGGTTATTATTTTATGGGGTCATGAGGGGAGTGACTGGTTTTTGTCACAGTACACCTCTTAAAATGCATTTGTCTTGTGTTTCATGTTGGGAATGGACAATATGAATATATAATCTTTTCGTTTACAAACATTGAATGAATTGTAGCTAGCATTGATTTATAATAATTTATTCAATTTATAATTACTTTTCCCGTTCATAAATTTATCCTTAAATGCAGGATCCTATAAACCCGCAATATATTTAGATGTCGTCTTTGTTACCGAGAGCTATTTTGTGAGAAAAACATATATTTTATAACAAAGCACAGCGGTTTCAGGATAATCTAAATATATAAATAGATTATAACATCCATATAGAAAATATTTAGGGGCGCCAGCAGCACGCCAAAACCTTCATTAAGTCAGAATAGCGTATTGAAAAATCCTATTTTAAGAGTTTTCAATAAAATAGCGAGTTTTCGGTCGAAATTCTTAAAACCCCCTCCCCTAATACCCCACTTTAGTGGTGGGGGAGGGGGCACTATTCAGCCACCCTAGAACTGTAATATATATCTTTTTAGGGGAAAAAATGGCAAAAGCTCAAGGCCCATTCTTCTGTATTATTAAACATTTTTTTATATATTTTTAAAGGGATTGTTTTCCTATTTTATTAATAACTAGGTGAAGGTCCCGGCGTTAAAAAAATAAGCCAAAAAATGTTGTAAAAAATATAAAAAAAAAAGTTTTGAAAAAAAATTGATTTTTTCTATCCTATAAAACCCCACGGCCACCCATGAGTGGTCAACAAAAAATTTCAGCCCAATCGGCCCAGCCGTTTGGCCGACTATACGCAACATATATACGAATTATGAATGTCTTGTTTTATTATAAAGATGTTATTATTATTATTATTGTTCAGGACAGCGAGGGTGAAACTGCTATCCATATCTGTGCCCGGGACGGTTTACTGGGCTTGGCGCAGACTCTGTGCGCGTTTGGTTGTAATGTTGATCTTCAGAACGAGGATGGAATGCTTCCCCTTCATCTAGGTATAGATAGATCAGTAGATCAACAGATCAACAGATCATCAGATCAACAGATCGTCAGATCAACAGATCAACAGATCAACAGATCATCAGATCCACAGATCAACAGATCAACAGATCAACAGATCAACCAATCAACAAATCAACAAATCAACAGATCAACAGATCAACAGATCAACAGATCAACAGATCAACAGATCAACAGATCAACAGATCAACAGATCAACAGATCAACAGATCAACAGATCAACGGATCAACAGATCAACAGATCAACAGATCAACAGATCAACGGATCAACGGATCAACGGATCAACGGATCAACGGATCAACGGATCAACGGATCAACGGATCAACGGATCAACGGATCAACGGATCAACGGATCAACGGATCAACGGATCAACGGATCAACGGATCAACGGATCAACGGATCAACGGATCAACGGATCAACGGATCAACGGATCAACGGATCAACGGATCAACGGATCAACGGATCAACGGATCAAACAGATCAAACAGATCAACATATTTTTTCAGATTAACAGAACATTTTAGATCAATAGAGTGATATAGACCAACTGATCAATTAATTTAAGAATGAAGAGCTGAACTAATTAAAAATATATTTTTTAATAAAAATATTCAATCAATATCTCATTAAAAGTTAAAAATATTTCCCAAAGGAATAGGATATATCTAAACTTAAAACTTAATAATTTCAGCTGCCAAATATGGACATACTGAAGCTGCTAGATGTCTCTGCCTGGCTGGTGCGCGTATCGACGCTAAGAACAAGGAGGGGGTGGTGGCCGAAGTTTGCGCTAGAGTACAGGGACACACTTCTCTAGGTAAAAATTAATTGTTCAGATGTAAGTCGTTTTTTCTTTTAAATAGAGTACTTTTTAAATCGCACTACATGACGGATGTTAATGTAACGTCTGTTTGATGAGCTGATAAACTTTACAATTCCCTGTAATAGTCATATCTTACTATTTTATCAGGGGCATAGGTAGAAATTTGTCTAGGGTGGGGGTGGGGGGGGGGCTGGAAATCATTGTTACAACTTTTCTAGGTGCCACCACTGCCCCCCAACCCTGCATAATCCCCTAGTTTATAAGATAATTTGAATTTTTTTAACAAAGTAATTTTCTTGTATTCCATTGAAGAAGTATTTTATAGGTGTTTAATTTAACGTTTAACGAATTATCAGGAAATTAAGTTGAATGAATGAAACTTTTCTCGTTGAGAATAGAAAATAAGTTTTAAAGAAAGTATACATAAAAAAATTTTCAGTAAAAGCATTTTGATATTTATTGGTTAAAAAGTTTTTCATTTTGTTAATTTCTAATTCAAATTGTTGCAATATGATTCACCACTCATTAATTTTCATTTAATGAATTATAAAATTCAGGTGGTTTTAGTAAAAATAGCTGTATTTAGTTTTTTTGTGTATACAATTAAATTTACTTTTTTACATTTTTATCTAAAAATGATAAAGAAAATCTCATGGGGGCCGTTTTAATTGAATTCAATATTTTAACAAACTTTAACAATTTCGCCCCCGTCCCCTTCCTTTCTCTACTATCCTATTTTTAGATAGGCAAATCCAGAGAATTGGAAAATCCATTGAAGTAAATTAAACTCTTCATTTCTATGTAAAATAATTTAAAAATTAAAATAGAGCCGGTTGCTAAGCAATTTTAAACTACGTTTAGCTGAATGTAAGTGTAAGGAAAGTTATTTCAGAAGTGTACACATCTTTTGTACTGCAGTGTACTGTCTCTGGGTGGTAATGTAAACACAAGACGGATGTCAAAGCCTGACATGGGATCCATCTTTCACAAGAGTATCAATGAAATATTCTGGTCATAGGAAACTATTATGTGAATTATCAAAATTATCAAAATTTAATGCTTTTAACCTCCTCAGATACTAAAGGAACACTAATGCATCTATTCTTGTTTACAAATTCCGCCCAAAGAGAGCTGGTTTCAATGTGTACGCAGAGTAAACACGATCGCAATTAACTTTCCTTGCTTTACACCCTTGGCTGAATAATTGATAATTGGATAATTGCGCTTTCCAGAGTTTCTTGGCGTATTTAAATATTGGTTAAGAGTTAATTGGATTATGACGCCAATTACTCTTCTTTACATGTTTTCTTGGCTTATTGAGAAATTGCTTATCTTTTTTTTAGTTTTCTATTGATCATTTGCTATCTTACTACTCTATGATTTGCTTTCTCTGGTTTAAATATATCATAACTACTCTATTTTTAGCGTTCTTTGCAGTTTACTTGCGATATTACGACTATAAATATATAACTATTATTATTTCTGATGGAATAGCAATATTATTAATATTTTTTTTCTGGATTTTATAAATAAATACCAAAAAGATATAAATACCATTTATATATGTATTTTTATCTTTGTGTGTGAATAATTCTATATTATAATAATAATAATAATGACAATATTATTGCTTTACACCATGAGTTTCCCGTGAATTAATTGCAATATTACAACTCTACTGTTGGGCGCTTTATGTGGGTTAAAACACGAGAATAAAAGCTTTTAATATTTTAGCTTTAGTATTTTAAGTTGAAAATGAAAAAGAAACTTAATCTTCTGTTTTTTTTATATTTCCAATTCGAAAGTAGGAATATAAGACAGATGATAAGGGATTAGTTTTAAAAATTCAATTACAAATTTTTTTTCTAAGAATAAAAGATCTATAATCCAAGTCTGAAAAATGGAAGTAAGGATTAAAAGAGATTATTTTGAGGTTCGAAGAGAAAGACAGAGAAAGTTTCTACGCTGGTTATTTTCTGGATTCATTTTTTCTTCAATGCATCTAGGCCTTATAGATTTGGGATTTACATCGAAAAAAGCTATTGTCCCATTTTTTAAGCTCGCCTAAATTTTCAGGAGATTTGTTGCACAGACTGAAGATAGATGGTGGGACCGATGACTATATTGAACAGCTGATCCCCACCACAAGCCCAATATCTAAAATCAAAATAAAGTTCTTCGGACACTCTGGGGTCGGGAAGACGTGTATCATTGACAGTTTAAAGGCCGGATATTTCTCTAGTTTGTTTAGACGGGGAAGTAAAAGAAATTCTTCCTTCTCAGGTATGATTCTTTTTATGACATCCCAAACCTAATTTTCTTTTAAAGTTTAAAAAACCTTTTTTGATCCTTTTTTTAATATTTTTCAAGACAGATTCATTTTTTGTAGAAGACCCTAAAACACCCACCTCTGAGCCCACCAAACCACCTAAACTGCGTGCTTCAAAATCTCCGAAACCTGAGCCGAGTAAGGTATCTGGATTGGTCAAGAAACCTGCCACTTTGTCGGTCACAAATCCTTCAACTCCGCGGAAACGAACGGATCCAATCCGTCCAGTCCGACGCTCCGATACACAATCCATCAAACCTAATATCAAAGCAGGACGGATTGAGATATGTTCTACTCAGAAGGAATCAATTGGAGCGGTTAAATCTAGTTTAGGGAGCAGTAGGAAGGTAGTTGGGAGCCCACGTGTTGATACAGGACTTGTGCGTGGGTCAGGTGGGAGCGAACGTGTGGATACAGCGAATGCTCGTGCAGTCGGAGGAAGTGCTCGTGGGGCACGTGGACCTGAAGCTAAAGAATCCTCCAAAGGAGGACGAAAGAGTTCGTGGACTGCGCATATCAGTCCGCATTCAAGATCAGAGGAGCTAGCCATTGGAGGTTAGTCCACCAGGAGGCCAGGAGGCCTGGAGAGGTTGCATCCCAGCTAACTAGTGACTAACCAACTCAGTAGTTCCTTCAACTATCCTGACTAACCTAATCACCAATTAACGACCATTAATATTGACTAACTTCATCTAAATGATGCATTAATATTGACTAATATACAAGTAAATATTTAGTCTAATCAAAGACAATTATTAGTAAAATTAACTAATGCAGCATGTCTCCATGCAGTGATTGATAAAAAATAAAAATAAACCAAAATTTCATAATAAAATTACAGTTCTAATTTTATCCCCTTTGTTTACATTGCATGATGAATACCTAAAGGGGAGTGAAGTGGGTTACAAATCAGAAATCATTTTGAATTTTTTTAAAGTAAAAATTTGGATTTATAATAGATAAAAGATATTATGCGACATTTTAGATTTAGAGATAATACTTTCGCATGCCTTTAGAATTTAAATATAGATAGATATATACTGGAAATACATTTAATGGTGCTAATAAAAATAATTTTCACATTTCACATGTCAGGGCCCCCCCCCCCCCTGTTAATAACATGGAATGCAAATATTACAAATATGTTTTATGGCTTTATCTTCGAATAAATGTCGAAAGTTTTATTTACTTAGAAATAAAGTTTTTGAGATGTTGGTAAAGTTAAGCAAGTTCTAGGATTCCACTATAAATATTCAATTCCATTCTATTCCAGTTCTATGATTCCACGATAAATATTCAATTCTATTCTTTTCCAGTTCTAGGATTCCACGATAAATATTCAATTCTATTCTATTCCAGTTCTAGGATTCCACTATAAATATTCAATTCTATTCTATTCCAGTTCTAGGATTCCACGATATTCAATTCTATTCTATTCCAATGTTATTCCTGAGTTAAGGAGTTACAACATTCTCTTTTATTTTACGATAGACCGTCATTCATCAAACTATACTTTTTCAAACTTTACTTGGTTGATATATAACAATACCTTATACTTTGAAATATCAAAGATCAATTTACGGCATCAGGTTGTAAAATTATAAGTAATATTAAATTAGAGTATGGGAGAGTAATCAGTTCCTTTAGCATTTTAAATTTGTTCTCATGGATACAGGACGAAAAAGAATGTCCTCAGTTCAACACTACTATTTAATACTAACACTAATCATACAATAACTTACATAATAGTATCTAATATTGCTGAATAATCCCAGTTCAACACTACTATTTAATACTAACACTAATCATACAATATCTTACATAATAGTATCTAATATTGCTGAATAATCCCAGTGAACGTTAGTTTTTAAACAATTTAAAACAAGAATATCCAAGATGTCAGTGTACTCCACCTTTTATATTTATCCCTAAAGTTTTTTTTCTATCTAGTAAATGTGTGTTCCACTAAATATGACAATTTCTATAACAAAGTGAGATGAGCGGCATTCATTCGAAAATCTAATTTTACAGGAGTTATATAATTCTTGAAATATTTTGAAATGAAATTTTAAAACATTCAATATTCATCCAATTTTTAAAATTTATATAAAAGGTTTCAAAGACATTTTGGACAGTTGAAAGGCGTTCAACTTTTTTACACACTACCAATTCAGACGAATTCAAGTCATCTCTAAAATGCCAATTTTAGTGGGACACCCTGTAAATCCTTCCTATAAATATTTCTTTGTTAACCTAACTGATTTGTAAAAAAAAAATCAATAAATGAATGTATGAAATTAAGAAGGATGAATGTTTGAATGAATGATTGATTAAATGAATGAATAAATGAAGGTGTATCTGTTGGTTCGATGGACTCTGAAGTTCTTCACTCTATGTATCAGCATCCTTATACCAAAGGCGTGGATGTTCTACAGGTTAATTAATATTGTGAAAAAATTATAAAACATTTCTGCATAAAGGGTTTGTAGGCAGAATTTTATGAGACCCTTCTTAGTATGGCATGTCTGATTTACAACAGTACCCTTAAAGATCTGTCTGATAAAGTATGAAAAAGATTCATCATCTTGCAAACTTAAAACTTTCAATTGTGGTTTTTCTTCAAGAATATTTCAGGCATATATCTATATATATAAATATTTCAGGCATATATCTAAATATTTGAATAGTTCAGTAAATATCTAAATATTTGAATAGTTCAGGCAAATATCTAAATATATAAATATTTCAGGCAAATATCTAAATATTTAAATAGTTCAGGAAATATCTAAATATTAAATAGTACAGGCAAATATCTAAATTTTTAAATAGTTCAGAAAATATCTAAATATTTAAATATTTCAGTCAAATATCTAAATATTTAAATATTTCAGCAAATATCTAAATATTTAAATATGTCAGGCAAATATCTAAATATTTAAATTTTTAAGACAAATACCTAAATATTTGAATATTTAATTAGTTCAGCAAATGTCTAAAGATATAAATATTTCAGGCAAATATCTCTGGACCAGGAGAGGTTTCAATCTGGGAGTTTTCAGGACAAGAATCATACTATTCTCTCTTTGACCATTTTATAGGTTAGATTCAGATAATTCTTAAAAACAATATTTGAAAAAAATAAAAATATGGCGGACAAATATTGCTTGGATAACTTATCAATTCATTAAATTACTAAATTCAGTAATTATCAAATAATATTTTAGAAACTTAAGAACTCAATAAAATTATTTATTTTCTAACGTCTTTGCCACAACTCTCGTTTTCTAATCTCTATATATATTTGCAACCTGATGATGTAACCTATTGATATTTCAAGCACAGATTATAATTGATCCAACAGAGTTGAAATATCTTAGGTCGACGACATTGGGTTACAAAGATGCGGGGATTAGATAATCATAGTTTGTGGAAGGGATTTGATTCAATCTTTATTACGATAAACAGAATTATTCAATTCTTGTGTATCGATCATATATATTTTGTATTTTAACAGGGTTTCTTGCTAAATTGCTTTAGACCTTTAGATTTTGTTGTACAGAAGAACCCATAAAACTATGGAATGGGAAGCCGACATTTATGCAATCAATTGAGTATTTGATGTTGTCATGAATAGCTTTAAATTATCAGCTTAAAATTATCAATTTTGAATAATAATTTGAGTCTGAACAGTCGTCCCCTATTCTACTATGGGTCACACTGAACATTTATTTGTAATTATTTCAGGAAATAGTCACTGCATCCATGTAGTAGTTTACAACTGCGCAGACCCAATCCAGGTACGACACAGTGTACATAAAAACATTTAGTTTATCTACATAAAAACAGATAGTTTATCTACATAAAAACATTTAGTTTATCTACATAAAAACAGATAGTTTATCTACATAAAAACAGATAGTTTATCTACATAAAAACAGATAATTTATTTACATAAAAACATTTAGTAGTTTATCTACATAAAAACAGATAGTTTATCTACATAAAAACAGATAATTTATTTACATAAAAACATTTAGTTTATCTACATGAAAAATAGATAGTTTATTTACATAAAACGAGATAGTTTATGTACATAAAAACAGATAGTTAATGTAAATATTATGTGAACATTTTTTGTAAAGAAACCTGCAGGGCATGTCAAATCCTAGATTCTGTTTTACATGGTGTCTTAAAACTCGTACTATTTCCACACAATATTTTTCAAAACCAGATGATTTGAGAGGACTTAATTGTGAAGAGATTCTTTAAAAAAATATTTTTTCTTATTTTCCTCGAAAGCCTTGGTTTTTAACATTTACTTCTTTAAGTTTAAATATTTCATCCGAAACACAATGTTTTTAAGTTTGAAAAGGAAACATAACTGTTTGATGTTTAGGTTCAGATAAACCAATGCTATTTCTGGTTAACTTTTCTACAGAGTAGAATACCTCCAGTAGAACCTTTAGGTAAACATTTTTATATGTATATTTTTTTATTATTTTTATCTATATATTCATCTATTATCTATCTATCTATATATCTAGACTCTATATATATATATATATATATATATATATATCTATTTCTATCTATCTATCTAATAGTATCATAATCTTTATATCTATCTTTATCTAGGGGATGAGGGGAAATCTCATAAGCCTGCTTTTGTATTATTGGTTGGAACACACGCCGACCTCTCCCACGCTAGGAAAAACTCTTCCGGAGAGTTTTCTTCGCCAACCCAGGGAGTTCTCAAGGAAAAGGTAATTCTATAAATATAAAATTGTAATCTCTGTTTGTGTGTTTGTTTGTTTGTCCGATCGTAACTCAGTAGTCAGGATAACCGATTTGGTTGGGGAACTCGGGAGAACCACGGGAATGTAATTAGTTTTGCTTTAAGATTCTAAGTTGAGTGTGTCCACTTGATAGAGAAAAATAGTTAAAAGCGTAATTTACGACAAAGCGCGGGTAAACGGCGGGAGTAACTATGCACATAAAACTGATAAAAGTAATTTTTATTTAAAAAAAAATATTTATACTAAATATTCATTGAGAATCAGAAAACTCTAGAATAGTTATTACTTTCAATGTTCATGAGACACGGCAACTGCGCAGTGTAAACAGACCCAATTCACTTTACAAGTGATTCAATAAGTTACTAGTAAAACTATATACTTTGTAACAATATTAATTACACTACAGTATTTCTTTAATGTCATCTTTTTATTCCAAAGTAGGTTTTTGGTTCTCCAGTGTATTCCGTTTTTAATACTAAACAGTGTTACGTACAACTACAAGGGATTAAACTTTCTTTAGGTTTTTTAATGTTTTTTGTCTAAAATAAAGGGTTTTTAATGGTATATTCGAGGTGGTTTGGCGTTGCATGAAATCAGAATATATTCGTAAGAATCCATAAATCTGTAAAAGAAGTAACCTTTGCTATTTCAAATTTTGACAATTTGATTTAATTTAATTCGTAATTTAAAATATCAAAGTTATAAGACACCAGACTGCAAGAATGTAGACCTTGGGGTAAATCAGTTTCTTTGTGAAACATAATTTTTCCTTTATTAAACTTTTAAGAAGAAACTTAATATTTAACAGAAGAAAGTTATTAAAGAGAAACATTTTTCTTCTCACAGTTTACTTTGTGTTCAGGTTTTGGAGAAGTTTGGTCGTATCTTCAGTATAGAAGATAATTTCATCCTTCTTGATGCTAACTCTGCCTCCAGTCCTGGATTCAAATCCTTCAAATCAATTCTTCAGACCAGGAAACAACAGATTATAGAGGTAAGGTCAACCTATACACTTTACTTCGCATGCTCATTTTTCAGGGGTGGCTGGGTGAAAGGAAAATAACCAGTGTCCGAATTCGATGAATTTAAGCCGCGTCAAATCCCCAAAAACCGGTTTAAATCGATCGCCGGCTTAAATCTTGAAAAATTAAATGCACTTTAAAGTGAAACCAACCATATTTGAGCCGCGGCTTAAATTTAATCCACGGCTCAAATTCTTTAAATTTGGCCTAGCTGTAACCTCTATTACTTTGTTGAAAAATCAGCGTACTTCTATTTTTTGTCGGTGTAAAAACATTTCTCTAAGAAACCCCACTTTACTACTCTTGTAAACAATGATATGAAGGGCTTCTGGTTCTTTTTCTTGATATGGTGTATCATGGGGAAGTATTCAGCGGTTTAGGATCTCTTATATCACGTGACTTCAGAAAACGGTATGCAGCCAGTTCTTTATTTGAAATAAGAAGATTGATAAAAGTCGTCTTATCCTTAATGGTTCATTAACGACCGGCTGCTAATTTTGAGCATTAGTTACCTTGGAGGGGGGGGGGGATTTGGGGATTCAGCATCCCCCCCGACCCCCCGCTACAACCTCTTTTGTTAAAATAGTTGGATACATTCTTGTACATAATCACGTGATATAAAGGGTGGATCACTTTTCTATTTTTGGAATTATTTACACTAAGAAGCGCAATAAATGCTCACGAGCTGCCAATCTAATATACAACTTAGCATGAACATCTTAATAGTAATCTAGTTTTAGTGATTTCATACAATGTTTGTCTAATATAGTATCTAATGGGGGTTAATGCCTTTTTTTTAGAATTTATTTTAAAAAACTTTTATCTTGTATGTTTGCAGTAATCTCATCTTTACGTCGTGCAGTAGAAAGATCTTATCTAAATAAAATAAAGAATCAGTAAAATTTCCTGGGTAAAACATTAATAATTTTCTTTTTCTTGTTCTTTTTCGGAAATAAATGAAAGAACTGAACAATCACCACACATTTTCTAATCTATTTATCTTTGAAACCTGGTGGTGGAAACCTTTGCTTTATCAAAGCTCATGGTTGAAGTATCATAGGTCTTTTTCTTACACTCTTAAAGTTTTTGTTTTATTTTATTAATAAATTTAAATATTAAATTTTATTAAACCAAAAATAAAAAATGGTTTATTAAGAAAAAGTATTGTTCTTTCTTTGAAAAGTTTTCAAAGTGAGCTTTGTGGAAATATTTATTAGAATTAGATATTTCTATAAACCCGGAGCTGAGGGGAAAGGTTAGAAATAAATGACGTGGAAAATAAGAAAAAAGAATATTTGATTTCTCATTCTTCTCTTCTCCGACAGTTTTCCAGAGTCCTAGGTTTAGGGGTTATATGTAGGGTTTTCTTTGTTTTGGAAGTAAGGGGGAGGGGATGAGGGGAAATCTCATANTATAAGTTTTGTTTTATTTTTTTGTGGGTGAAAAAAAACCATTGATTACTTTTCTACCAAACTCTTTTTTTACCTATGATTGAGTATAAACATAATGAATGCTTGAATATAAATATAAAGAATATTAAAGTTAAAGTATATATTTGTATTTTTTCTTTTCGAGCGAAACCTGAAAGAAAAATAAACATTTTGTTTCATCTGTATAGTGCCCGTCAGGAAAATAAGAGAAAAAAGATTTATAACTTTTCAAAATATTGAGAAAACAAATTATAAAAAGGATTTCTTTTATCCTTTGCCCAGTGCACAGTAAAACATATCTATTTTATTTATATAAAATTGGAAATTTAGAATTTTTATCATTTTAAATATCTAAAAAATTAAAAGGCTAAAATAAAAAAAATACAGGGACCTTTGAGTATTCTTTGCGTATTTTTGAGAAAATTCAAAATGAAAATGGACTGAGCTGGGAACTTTAAAATGGTGGATATCATGATTAATGCTTAATCCTCTGTTTTTGCTAATCTCGAAACTAACATAATCTCGAGATTATGTTAGTCTTGAGATTAAATATTTAGATCAACAAATTGGATTCTAAGAACGCCAGATTTGTTGGTTTTCTTGACTGAAAGGGCCCTAACTTAATTTCTCACCCTATATTTATTAATACATTAGTTAAAATTGGTTACAAAAGAATCTCAAACGTATTATTAAATATTTTTCTTCGCCGATTAATTTACAAAATGGCTAACAACAAATTCTTGATTTTTTAGAAATTGCGGATTTCTTTCATGGGATAGAATTTATTTACAAGGCTGTCATTGGTCAATACAATTTACGAACTATATGCCTGCACTCTTGTTGGAGAAAATAATGTAAGGATATCCAAAGAGAAAGAAAAAGAGTGGATTAAGGACTAAAATTAAAAGTTTCCACAATGGATATTCGGATTAAGTAGTTGGGATTAAAGGTCATCCATTCTATAGTTCCCAGCTCAGGTACTATATATGTATATTTCATAGAGGTATTAAATATTTACATAGTTTAATAGAGTCTTGAAATATTAATTTTGTTTCTACACAGGGGGGATGGGATACAAGATACATTCTTTTAAAATAAAATAAAAGATTTCAAATTATTAAGATTTTAAAAAGCTTTGAGATGGTTTCCTTAGATTTAGAGAGATTGGATTAAATTTAAGATATCTAGAATTCATAGGATTAAGTTTAAGATACCTAGAATATAAAGGATTAAGTTTAAGATATCTAGGATATATAGGATTAAGTTTAAGATATCTAGGATATATTGGATTAAGTTAAAGATATCTAGAATACATAGGATTAAGTTTAAGATATCTAGGATATATTGGATTAAGTTTAAGATATCTAGGATATATTGGATTAAGTTTAGGATATCTAGGATATATTGGATAAAGTTTAAGATATCTAGGATATGTTGGATTAAGTTTAGGATATCTAGGATATATTGGATTAAGTTTAAGATATCTAGAATATATTTGATTAAGTTTAGGATATCTAGGATATATTGGATTAAGTTTAAGATATCAAGGATATATTGGATTAAGCTTAGGATATCTAGGATTTATGGATTAAGTTTAGGATATTAAGGATATATTGAATTAAGCTTGGGATATCTAGGATATATTGGGTTAAGTTTAGGATTTATAGGATATATTGGATTAAGTTTAGGATATCTAGGATATATCGGATTAAGTTTAGGATATCTAGGATATATTGGATTAAGTTTAGGATATATAGGATTCAGTTTAGGATATCTAGGATATATTGGATTAAGCTTAGGATATCTAGGATATATTGGATTATGTTTAAGATATCTAGAGTTCATAGGATTAAGTTTTGGATATATAGGCTATTGGATTAAGTTAAGGATATCTAGGATATATTGGATTAAGTTTAGGATATCTAGGATATATTGGATTAAGTTTAGGATATCTAGGATATATTGGATTAAGTTTAAGATATCTGAGCTGAAAACTTTAGAATGGTGGATATCGGGATTAAGGCTTAATCCACTCTTTTTCTTAATCTGCAGATAAAATATTGCTTGTTCTCCACTCATTTTTAATCTCCAGATTAAGTATCCGATCAGGATTAAGGATATCCCATTCAAAAGTTCCCATCTCTGGAATATTAAGTTTATGGTAAGTAAAGAAAGTAGAAAGTTGAAATTAGAAATTAGAAAGTAAAAAAGAAAAAGAAAATGAAAAAGGAAGAAGAAAGCGAAAGAGAGATAAGGGAGGGTTGAAAGTGTGGATTGTGGAAAGAGTGAAAGAGAAAGGGAGAAGAAGATATGAGAAAGAAGAGAAGGAAAATGAAAAGGGAAATGGAAGGTCGTAAAAGAAGGTTTAAAGTGTAATGGTAGAATAGGAAATTGTGGGAAGTAGAGATGGGTTAAACAGAAAGAAGTGGGGAAGTAAGAAGGAGAAATGAAGGAGGGGGAAAGGGAAAGAATGTACGTAGTGTTTGGGTGGGTGGTGATAATATTATGTAGTTTTTAAATACAAAAGGAAATTTCATTTTTTTTTTAAATATTTACTTATATTTAAAACAATAATTATAGCAAAACCATGAAAAAAATGTTTTTATTTGTTTGAAATAGCTTGTGGTTCTAACTGTTTAGCGCCCAATTTTTTTAGGTTTTCACGAGTTTGGATTATTTGATTTTTGAGGTTGTGGTATTCTTGCGATTAAGTTAAGGATAGCTAGGATATATATCGAGGTATCCAGTTGCATTTTGATCTGAGAGCTCCGGGTTTAATTTCCGTTCCTCTCTGAAATATATATTTATGGTTCAAATTCTATGCAGGATGTTTTAAAAATATGCTAAAAAACTTTTTAACATTTCGTAATATTGTACAATTGTTTATATCAAACTTGTTCCAGTGATAATCATTTAAAATTATCTTTTTGATGAGCAAAAAGTTTTCATCCTTAAAAAGTATAATCTCTAAAAAGTAATGGTTCCTGGGTTCCAAAAATTTGACAGTGCACAATGCACATGCTCAAGGATAAGCACGATATACTGAACAATGCATTATGTGCAGTATTGAAGGGAAGGTGATGGTACAACAGTAAATATAGTTGCATGTAGGGAAAGGAGGCGAACCTTGCCAATATTTTGGCAGAAACAGAAGTAGTTTCAGCTTTCCTACCCTCATCATATACTCTTCTTACTCAGAGAGAACCTGGAGCACAGGTACACCTTCTCAACCCTCTCCTTCCTATGTTTACACAATCCCTTTTACATTGTTGCCTTTCCACCCTCAATTTTTGCTTTCTCACCCTCTTTAGTTTTCCCTTCCCACCCTCTTTAGTTTTCCCCTCCCACCCTCTTTAGTTTTTCCTTCCCATCCTCTTTAGTTTTGCCCTTCCTACCCTCTTTAGCTCTTTCCTTCCCACCTGCTTATGTTATTTCCTTCCTTCCCTCTTTAGGGAGGCCCTGGCTAAATTAAAATGTAAAAATTGTGCAATTGTAATTGGTTTAATTAAATTATTTAGTCAAATATTATATATCTATCTATCTATCTATCTATCTATCTTTCTATCTTTAGTTTACTTTGTAAAGAGATTGTTCAGACAATTCAGCAAATGCATGAAATTTGCCACAAGCTCTGATTTTCTAATCCCTGTATCTTTCTTTGCAATCCAATGTCGTGGACTTTAGATATTTCCATCTGTAAATTCTGTTGGACCAAAGAATCTAAGTTTGAAATATCTAATGTATACGCCATCAATTTGCAAAGATAAAAGACTAGAACATTTTATTTCGTGGTAAAGGCTTATTTTTTCGGAAAAATTAAAAAAAATATCACTATCTTTTGTGAAAAACATTGACACAAAATATATAAACATTTTATTTTAATTCATGAGCTTTTGGATAAATGTTTATTCTCTGGGCTAATTAATTAATTATAATTTCTCTCTCTCGTTCTCTCGATCCATTACTCTTAAGACTAGCTTTTTATTAATCCCAATTTTACCACCTAATATACGTTAATGTCCCCCCCCCCCTCCGCCATATCCCCCCGTCCCAGAATATTCAACAATATTACACTTTTTTATTTTAAATTTTCTTACAATTATATACACATTTTTAAAGGAATTAAGGCTTAGTCACAAACTCTGATTTTTTAATCCCTATATCTTTGCAACCCAATGTTGTAGATCTTATAAATTTCAAACTACGAAAACTGTTGATCAAATAATCTAAGTTTGAAATATGAAAGGTATACACAATCAGGTTGTAAGAATATAGGGATTAGAAAGTTTGAGTTTGTGTCAAATACAAAACTCCTTTACAAAAAGGTTTACTGAAAATATTTAAATTGCATGAAACATTACGGGATTATTAATTATGCATGGAAAAAGGGTTAAAATCTTTGGGATATTTTTTTCCACTTTTTTGTTAAAAGTGAGATTTTTCATTATCTTCAGCTTATTTGAAGTTTTAGTATTTGAATAATTATATTTTATTGCTGAACAATGTTTCATGGATGTAATATTTCTCTATACATATTCAATTCTGGTTCTGTAGTTTCAAATTTCAATTTTAAATTTGTTTTATCTTCGAATAAAATATACAATATGATAATGGTAACTTTACTAGAGAAATATTATATTTTTAACATTTAACTTTCAATTCTTTAAATGATGTTGATTTATATGGATGTTTATCATCGGAGAGTACAAGCCTTTCTTACTTTTTAAAGAATTTGATATGTTTTTGAAAATGTTTTGCTAAATACAGATCTTTAGAATTAAATCAAAACGAATTGAATTAAATTCATTTAAACAAAGTGATTGTTTACCTCAAACTCTAATTTTCTAATCATAAAATATTTGTCAACCTGTTGTCGTGGAATATAGCGTTATAAATATATAAGGTTTAACTATCAGGCTGCAACGATATCTGGAATAGAAAACTACAGTTTTAGACGAGCAATGAGTTACTTTCAAAATCTAATCTATTACTCCTGTCCTAGGGTTTACCACGTGTGACCCAGTTCCTGGAGTGTGTCCTGCAGGAGCTCCCGGAGTGGAGACAAACCTTAAACCCGTTCCCCGTCCTAACCTGGCAGCACTTCATCGATCATATTCATGATGTGGTCAATCCATTGGCTGGAGACGAACATCTTAAGGTACAAATACATATACAATGCATAAATAAAATAATTCTTCTCCTTCTCAATCCTTAACCAGGAGAAGGGGATGGTTCATCTAATATTCCGTTCCATTTCAATAGTTGAAATAGGAGAGTGTGATACATGTCCTTAGTCAAAATTTTCAAGGCCTGTTCATTATAAAAAAAAATACCCCTATCTTTGGTTAGGGTGAAAAAAATTAAAAAGTACGTTGGAAAAGTTGTCCAAAAATAAATATTTTTAATTTGACAAATATTAACATGTGACACGCGCATGTTATTGCATCCATTTTTCAAGGGCTTTTCAAATGTAAAACTTTTAGCCCTTTAGCTAATTTAATAAAAAAGTTATTAACCATCTCTAATTTTTTTGAAATACCGACCCGCCGTTTGACTGTCCTCCAACATACGCTGTGCATAATTTTTTTTATTTTTTATGCCAAAGGAATCGAGTCTTTGCCACAAACTCTTCTTTTCTAAACCATATATCTTTGGATTCCAATGTCGTAGATATTTCAAACTATGAATTCTGTTAGATCAAATGATATAAGTTTGAAATATCAAAGATGTACGAATTGGGTTCCAAAGACATAGGGATTATAAACTCAGAGTTTGTGGCGAAGACTCAATTCATTTGTTCACAACATGCAAAGTTGAAAAAGTGAAGAAGTTTAAGCGTATTAATTCAGCCGTTTTTTAAGTTATCTAGAAGAAAAAAAAAACAATCTTTATAGGGTTAAGCTGGGGTAAAGTAATGAAACTTAGCTGTCAGGAATCCCGGATTAAATGGGCGTTTTTTGGTCTAAATTTAGTTTGGAAATATTCTTATAATGTTGATATAATAATCTCTATATAATTTTTGACACAAACTCTGCTTTTATAATCTCTCTTTGTATCCGTTAGTCGTAGACCTTAGATATGTCAAATTATAGATTCTGTCGGAACAAATATCTAAGTTTGTAATATCTCACCATCAGATTGAAAAGATATAGGGATAAGAAAAATTCTGGGAAAGCTTTCCACAATACTGTATACTCAGTTCGACTACCTTACATAGCCGGTCACTCCCTTTGAGGAAATATTGGAAGTTTCCTTGTTTTTAGAGTTTTCTGTTTAAAAATTGATAATCTATAATTTACAAACAATTTGTTAAGCAAAGTGAAAAAAAGTTGTTTCTAAAGAAAATAAGAAAATAGAAAAACCATAAAAACATTTCATGCATTTTTGTTCACTTTAATGGATTCTTTCAATTCCACATTTGTGAGGCTAAACCCTCAAGGAATCTGAATATTTTAGTTTAAATAAATAAAACATTTTCTTTTTGGTGTGTAGGTAATGTAGCTGAGTTTGGTTCAAAGCTTTATTTATTTTATAATCCAAAATCAGGTGTTTTTAAATTCAATAAGTCGCTGTCATTTAAAAAGCTTTTATAGAAATTATTAAACCAAACTAGTAATATAGAAGAAGCAAGAGGAATAAAATTCAGTCTTCGCCACAACCTCAAACTTTCAAATCCCAATATCTTTGCAATCTGATAGTGTAAACTTTTGATATTTCAAACTTAGATTATTTAATTTAACAGAATTCGTAGTTTGAAATTATATGTAATTGGTGTGCATATATTGGGTTGCAAAATTATAGGGATTCTAAAAACCGAGTTTGTGGCAAAGATTCAATTCCATATTGAAACTTTCCTAAATTGTATGTTAACAATCCGATGATTATTTGGCGCCAAATCTTAAGTTTTATTACTGTGTTAAAAAATATTTTTTGTTATTTATTATTGTTTATAATTAAAACAATTATTGATCATTTTAATTTATTTATTTCATTATTTTTGAATCTAAAAAATTGTGGAACAATTTGATCAAGTGGATCTTGTATTCTAGGAAGTTATTTTACAACTTGATCTTGTATTCTAGGAAGTTATTTAACAACTTGATCTTGTATTCTAGGAAGTTTTTTAACCACTTGATCTTGTATTCTAGGAAGTTATTTAACAACTTGATCTTGTATTCTAGGAAGTTTTTTAACCACTTGATCTTGTATTCTAGGAAGTTATTTAACAACTTGATCTTGTATTCTAGGAAGTTTTTTAACCACTTGATCTTGTATTCTAGGAAGTTATTTAACCACTTGATCAATCTAGGAAATCATCCAACAGCTGCAGTTGATGGGTGAGGTTGTTTATCTAAAATCGGAGATAGAAGATCTTATTTGTTTGTGTCCCAAGTGGGTTTGCAGTACACTTTGTGGTTATCTCCTCTCAAGGTAAATATAGTGGTTTTAACAATTAATCGGAATTTCTTGAAAGACCATGTGAAAATAGCCTATTGTATATGAATTGAAATGATTTGCGGCATTATTTTTATGTCTACCTAATTTTAGAAATATAATTAATGAAATAATCAGATAAAAACCTAGTCCTGAAATTTACATGAAAAATTTACTTGAAAATTAATGCTTACTACTTATTGATAAATATAAAGCAATATCATGGTTTGATGGTCAATGTAGAATGTAGAATTGTACATGTCATTTTATAAAAATCAGTGTTATATAATTACTTTTTGAAATAATCTCCGTATATTTTATACATTGTCTGTCAGTTAAAAAATCTGAACCCTGGTTTTGTTAATTTTTGTTTTTATTTCACAAAATTTTTATTAAGATTATTATTTTATTTTGCGCATACGAAAATTTCTCATAACTAGGGTTACCCTCAAAGGATGTGACTTCAGAGAAGATTGTGCAGAGTTGATATTGTTAGTTTCCTTATATTTATGATTCCCAGCAATTGTAAACTTATTTCTTTTTTTCCCTAAAAAATTTATATTGCCATAAAAAATTATATTCAAGGCTTAGTTTAACCTTGGAATCTCCAAATTTAAAGATTTTCAGATCGTCTTTACAGCCCCACTCTTTGTGGATAACCTTGTCATTTTTTTCTTTACAGTGAGTTTCGGTCGCACTCCCGTCCTACTGGTTCTTACAGCCTAGAGGATTTCCAGCTTGCCTTGCCTGAATACGATGCTGCAGATACTATTAACGTACTAGAGGCTCTTGGTATTTGTATCAAGGTAGGATATTCCGTTCCATGGTTTATAGGGTGACTGTTATTTATTTATTTATTCACAAAGTCAACCGGGCCCTAATTTAATAAATTTGAGCTAGGTCGCTGAATTACCTACCGCCGGTTTAATCGTTTATAGACCTAGCTCAAATTCATTGAATCAGGCTTCTTATTTGACAGATTAAAAAAATGGCATTGTTTGGTTATTTCTGGATCTATAAAATTTTCATCTAAAATTAAATCTAAAGCGTACTGATAAACCATTTAGGATTGACATAGCCAATTTTTGTATGGGAAAATTGGGCCGGGAGTTTGTTTGCTTAGCTGATTTGATGATGTGCAGATCTAGATTACAAATACTAATTCTGCTGTCCTATCTTTCCAGTCTGTGATTTCACAATTTTTTAAAAAGTTTCATGAATTAAACTTTTTTAATTCGGAGAAGGTCCGACCTAAAATCTCTTTTTTCTTAGAGGAGATTTTTTCTTTCTTTTTATGCCATACTTGCTTATTTATTTTGGACCGGTAACATGTGTTTTTTGTTTATTGGACTCGTCAAAATCGGAACTTAAATTTAAAAGTCGTCTTTCTTCTTCACAGTTTTATGGGTTTCACTGTATGTTTTTGTTTCAGTGTAATATCGCTGGTGAGGTGGAGTGTGAGTTCCCCTGTTATAATCAGCTGGAGGCTGAAGAGGACACATGGGCTCCTAATCCTGTTTACAACGGAGGACATTTCGGAGGAGTTGTCCTCCAAACCTCTCTTGCAGCCTCACATATTCTCTCCGTGATGTTCCCAAGAGTTCAGATTCAACTCAGAAGGAATACAATTAGAAGGTTTGATATGGGTTCATTTTATAGTTTTTAAATTAAATAATATTTAGCCATTTTTTCGTTTTCTTCATTATTCAACTTTTTCAAAGCTTTATTTTCTTTTTCTTAATATTTCTAGATTTTGGGAACACCCCCCCCCCTGCCCTTCACTACACAAAACACGAAATTTCAGTTTGATATGCTTCAACGGTAATTTAAAGAGACCAAGCTAAAAAGAAACATAAGAATTCTTAACAGAAGATGCTAAATATTGTAAGGCTATTTGGGACAATGGAATAAAAAACACGATCATGGAACAATTTAAAGGGATTGTTCACTTATTTGGGTAATTTCATGGTAAAATAATTAGCCTATTATTGGTATTATTCTTACTTTTAATGATGGAGAAAAAGCCAATTTTTCGTTTAGAATTCCAGCTCAAAGGTATGATCCCTTTGCATAGACACTATCTGAACGTTTTTTTTTCAGTAACAATAGCCCAATAAAATCTAAAATTATCATATTTTTATGACACCAGTGTCAGTCATTATATCTATAAAACTTTTGATTTTAGAATCAGCAAGACATTAACGTTTTTCGTGTTAAAGCATGATTTAACAAATTAACACGTTTATACAAAGACGACTTTCTCTCTCAGAAAAAACGGTTCCTAATTTCCAACTCTTCGATAAATCACGGGACTCTGGGGAAGTAGGGAAAACGTTTCAAACCGTCAAATGTTTAAAATAAGTTTAAAGTATTTTTGAAAACAATTTTGAAAAAATTTAAGATGTCTACAATTAACTATTTGATATTACAATTTAATTTAAAGTTTAAAATAAATATTTGAGAACCTCTAAAATTAATAGTTTACCCTCAATTACCCAAAGAAGTGAACTGACCCTTTATAGATTTATTGTAGTTTCTGACACTATATCTAAAACTCCTGAACAATCCCTTTATCCTAAAGTATAATTTTGAATGTTTGTTGAAGGTTTGAAAATGACGAGGTGAGCTTGTTCCAATGGAAAGGTGGGAGTAGGATGTTCTGTGGGAGTCTGGAGGGAGTAGTTGAACTAATAACTCCAACCAGTGCTCCGAGTAGGATTGGAGTCAAGGTTCGGGGGCCTCCGGGTACCAGTAAACTCTGCTTCTACTTTCTAGAGGAACTACTCGGAGTAATTGATCAGGTACAGTTAGACACATAATAACGTGGAATGGAAAGACGACTTTTAAGCAAACTTGTGTTGTTATAAAGCAAATAGTTTAACCAGTAGCTTTCAACTGAAATATGCCTGTGCACACTGCACAATTGCTGCGTTTACTGGACTATTTAAGATCATAGCTAGACTCTCAACAGTGTCTTCCTCTTACACATTTTAGGGTCTAACCCCTCACTCTATTTTACCAGCATAATTATTTTCTTTATACACCCCCTCCAGCTTGAACTTTTTCTTCTACTGAAATGCGGTTACTTTTTACATTATTGATCAACACTCTTTCATTTATTTAGGTCCTTCTGGAGATGAGTCCTGGACTCGCGATAGATAAACATATTCTTAGCAGTAAAGATCTAGAGAACTATACTGAACCCCACTCCTGGTCCCCAGCTCAGGCCATGCAGTCCTTGAAGGAGGAGGGTTGGGAGGGATGTTTGATCCATCCTGAAGGTTGGAGTGAATCCTTGAATAATCTTCTCTGTTGGGGTTCACAGGAAGTACAAGACGTTCTCATTCAAGGTCAAATATTTGCTTACTTAAGTATCCATGGGGCTAATATTTATAGTTTGTATAGTCTTAAAAACGAAATACAAGTTTACGAAAATGGTTTTTGACTTCACTGAGTGTCTTCATATTCTAATTCATATTATGTTTATTATCTTTTTTCACAATAAGAAAAATCTCAGTCAATAAATGAAACCGCCTCAAAGGGTTACTATTATCCAATTGTCACCTAGATTGGTAATTGTCTTTCCGAGTGTAAAAGTGTTGCTAAAATTAGGCTAGAATTTAAAAAATTTAAATATTTAAAATATAATCGCCTGAAAGCCTCATATTTATCCAATTGTTAACAATATTGGTCTTTCCTAGTCAAAAGTGTTGCTAGAATTTCACTATTAAATTTGTCTTTACAGTTCTAAAATTCTAAAAATCTTACTTAATCTTAACAATAAATGAATAAATTTAGTTTTTGCACAAAAAAGATGTCAATTTTTTTTGTTTTGTTTAAATCTTTTTCATTGATTCTATTTTTTTTGTAATTTAGGACCTAGCATTCATGTCTCAAGCATTAGTACAGTTACAAGACAAACTCTGTGCTTTCTCCTAGATAAACCACATAAACTTGGCAGGTAAACCCTTTAAACTTTCTTCTTGATAAATACACCTTTAGATTTCTCCTACATAAACCTTTAGCTTTCTCCTACATAAACCTTTAGCTTTCTTCTATATAAACCTATAGCTTTCTCATACATAAACCTTTAGCTTTCGCCTACATAAACCTTTAGCTTTCTTCTACATAAACCTATAGCTTTCTCCTAGATAAACCTTTAGCTTTCTCCTAAATAAACCTTTAGCTTTCTCCTATATAAACCATTAGTTTTCTCCTAGATACACCTTTAGCTTTCTACTAAATAAATCTTTAGTTTTCTTCTAGATAAAACTTTAGCTTTCTCCTAAATACACCTTTGGCTTTCTCCAAGATAAACCTTTAGCCGTTAGCTTTCTCCTAGATACACCTTTTGCTTTCTCCTAAATAAATATTTAGCTTTCTCCTATATAAACCTTTATTATTCTCCTATATAAATCTTTAGCTTTCTCCTAGATAATCCTTTAGCTTTCTCCTAGATAATCCTTTAGCTTTCTCCAAGATAAACCTTTAGCTTTCTCCTAAATAAATCTTTAGCTCTTTAGCTTTCTCCTAGATAAACCTTATGACTTTCTTCTAGAGAACCTTTAGCTTTCTCCTAGATGAACCTTAGCTTTCTCCTAAATACAACTTTAGCTTTCTTTTATATAAACCTTTTTGTTCTCCTAGATGAAGCTTTAGCTTTCTCCTAGATAAGCTTTCTCATAGACAAATATTTACCTTTCTCTTAGATAAACCTTTAACTTTCTCCAAGATAAACCTTTAGCTTTCTTCTAGATAAATATTCAGCTTTCTCGTAGAAAAACCTTAAGCTTTCTTCTGAAAATCTTTAGTTTTTATTGTTGAATTGTTTCTTTCTTAAATAAACTTTTCTTTTTTCTTTTGAATTATTTTGATTACTTATCTTGTAAGTTTAAAATCTCATTAAAAATTGGTTTTCTGTTCAGAGAGAACAAGTAACAACTGTTTGATTCTAAATTAATTTCATTGAAAATGATAAAAGTCACGATTAAAACATTGTTACCTTTCACATTGTATTCCCCTGTTCCTGTAATCAAATCAAATCTTATACAATCTCCGACTGAGAACGGAGAAATGTTTTTTTCGAAAAGAATGAGACTTTGATGAAGACGATCTTAAACTCGTCTACATTGAAAGAACGAGAAGGAGTGTATTTTTTTTTTAAAATGATGAATTCTGCACCGTCGTCTTTGAAGTATGATACTTTGTTGGCAAAAGCATTATTTGATCAAAAAATTAATAAGATTTTGGGCTAAATCAGCTTATCAGCTCAAAATTTATTGTTTTTCATTAAAGTGATCTGTAGATTTAGGATATTGGCAGAATCTAACAGTTGGAAAACGACCTAAGCTTCCTCATTATTGCTCTGACGTAGGTTTAAAAGATACCAATTGTTAATCGGGTATCCGACTTTATAAATAAAGGTTTACTTCAATTTTGTCTACAATCCCTTTAAATAAATGCTAAATGTTTAGAGACTGGTGTTTGCTAGCTGTACAAATGGGTTTATCTGACAAGGTTCCCAAGCTAGATGTTGGAGCAGGATCATACAGCCAAACTGCGAGGTAATAAGATACCATCAATTCGTCAAGCCAGGAGGTTAACCAAATTATATTTAGTACACATTTTTCTGGCCCCCCCCCCACCCCTAGAAATGTTGGGGGGGGGGGCAAAAAATATCTAGTTACGCGCCTGGACTAGACAGAGTTCCTAAACAAGGTTGTATTTTAAGGTTAGATACTCTGCATGCATTCCAAAGGATATTTGGTCTCCACAGCAATGTACACTATAATTCTTAACTAACAATCTTCACTCTTACCAAATATTGATTGTGCTAACAAGTTTAAATTGAATTGAATTGAATTCTAGATATCATTTATTTTTAGTGAGTCGCAATATTTATTATTCTTTAGAATAATCAGGTTTTATTAACGACGACATTAACCCACATTGGAGGGCATCCATAGTATCTAACCTTACTGTACAACCTTGGTCTAAAGGAATTTAACACCCAATTTAAATTCTATTTATCTGATATTTTATGTGTACAATTGTGTAAACCTTTGATATGTCAAATTTAACAACGTGATCTGGAAAAATTTAGACAAACTACAAGTCTACAGTAAATTAATTCAAAAACATTTCAGGAAACAAATTTTGTTATTGCCAAAAAAAACTTAAAATCTGCAAACTAAAGAAAATAAGTCTGCAGAATCTGACATCTATCAATTACCATAAAATTGAGCAGACTTCCCTAGTTGCGCGCCTGCTGTTTAATATGAAATTTTGTTTAACAACCAATCAGACGAAATATTAACCTTTTTCAAGATTATATACTTTAGATTGATATTTTTGTTTTTATATATTTGATATTTCCAGAGCTTTCGGATTTAGCAATTAATTTATTAATCCGGTTTAATATTGTATTTAACGGATTTCCATGGTTGGAATTGGTGGATTGAGATTTGATTAGAATAAGACACAACATTGAGACTATTATATCCTCTAAAACCAACCAAGGTCTGTTTTAGTTTCATTGGGCCTAACTCCTTAAGTTAAGTCTAAGAGCTGACAGCTGTCGTAAGCTGATTCATATGTAGGGTCTAAGATTAAGGTCTAAAAAATTAAGACTCGAGCAGAAGCTTTTAACTCGCTGGCTCAGATGAATTAATATATTTATTGAATGATATAACGCTGTAAATGCTAAGTGCTATCTTCTCATTTTTCTCCACTTGTAAGATTTGGTTCAGTTCTCATTTCAATATTAATCCTTAGAGACCACTTGAGAAATGTAGAAATAGTTATTGTGTATTTTATTTATATATTTTTACTTTTCACTCAGGTCTAAAAACCAAAAAAAAATGTATCTGACCTATACTGTGTTCTACTAGGTTACTAGATGATAGCTCTGTATCTATCCTATACTCTGTTCTTCTAGGTTACTAGATGATAGCTCTGTATATTACTCTGTTCTAATAGGTTACTAGATGATAGCTCTGTATCTATCCTATACTCTGTTCTAATAGGTTACTAAATAATAGCTCTGTATCTAAACTATTCTCTATTCTACTAGGTTACTAGATAATAGCTCTGTATCTATCCTATACTCTGTTCTACTAGGTTACTAGATAATAGCTCTGTATCTTTCCTATACTCTGCTCTACTAGGTTATTAGATAATAGCTCTTTATCTATCCTATACTCTGTTCTACTAGGTTACTAAATGTATCTATCCTATACTCTGTTCTACTAGGTTACTAGATAATAGCTCTGTATCTTTCCTATACTCTGCTCTACTAGGTTATTAGATAATAGCTCTTTATCTATCCTATACTCTGTTCTACTAGGTTACTAGATAATAGCTCTGTATCTAAACTATACTCTGTTCTACTAGGTTACTAGATGAAAGCTCTGTATCCAACCTTTACTCTGTTCTTCTAGGTTACTAGATGATAGGTCTGTAGCTAACATATATTCTACTAGGTTACTAGATGAGTGGGCTAGCTCCTCGGATAGCTCCGTATCTAACCTGCTAGACCATCTAACTACTCTTGGAAGAGAAGACTCTGTACATGCTCTTCTCTCGGGATGCAGTCTCTACAGGTATTTATACAAAGGGTTCAAAAATGATTTACAACTGTATTCTTTAAACCTTTGACTATCTAGCAGAGATACCTCTGCGTGGTAAACCTCTTGAATAGTGGTTTAATCTCTCTAAAACCTGGTGTACGGTATGTGTACAGTGTGAATTCAGCACAGCTGATCGAAAATATAGACTATTTTATGCTAAGCGGTTTTTCAACATTCGAAAGGGATTGTTTTTACCACTTGTAAATATTAACTATTAATATTTTTAAACAAAGTGTTTAAAGTTGAAAGAGTTTCTGTAGATTAATAAGATTATTTCAGACTTCCTTGATCAATCATACGGTTAAAAGGAATGAATTGCGTTGCCCCTCTTTAAATATAAGGTCCCTTGAAACTACTCTTACAGCCCCTTAAAAAAGTATCTATCTTAAATTATAAATAGGAGCACATTTGAAGGTAAATAAGGTGTTAATCAATGTTTTATCTGATTATTTAAAAATATATATATATAAGATTTTTTGTTTAGAATAAAATCTCATGTTCCTGGTTCATCAGACGCAGATCTTAATCATAGTGGGGGATCTAACATATCTAGATAGATAGATAATCTAGATAGATAGATAATTTAGATAATCTAGATAATTTAGATAATCTAGATAGATACTCTAGATAATCTAGATATATAGATAATCTAGATAGATATGATAATCTAGATAGATAGATAATCTAGATAGATAGATAATCTAGATAATCTAGTCCTGACCCGTCCTATAGAACCTTGGCCTATAATTTAACCAAGAATAAAGGTATAAAAACTTCATATAAAGTGTCAAATCATGTATTTATATTATATTTTATATTTTTTAAAAAGTCAATTTTATTCTTTATTTAACAACATACTTCATTTAATTGTAGTGAAGCATCAGATTTCAACAAAAATATTTAAAGAAAAAATTAAATGAAATGAAAGTAAACAATTGAAAAGATAATGGAAAAATATCAGTTAAGAATAACAGGAAGCAATCAATTCATTCATTCATTTTATTCAATTTGATTGAACCTTGGTGAAAGTAATTGAGACTTTGTCACATACTCCCTTTATCTTTGCAACCTAATGTTGCATACCTTAGATATTTCAAACTAGGAATTCTGTTAGTTAAATAATCTAAGTTTAAATATTAAAGGTTTACACGATCAGGCTGCAAAAATATAGGGTTTAGAAATTTGAGACTCAATTCTTTTTTTAAAAGAAACTTAATGTCTAGCTCAACGTTGTTCTATAAACCTGTTTGTAAGATGTACATTGTACAGTGTTCATATCAGAATTATATCATAAAATCCACCGAACTGAGGTTTTGCAGTATTACATTTTTTATTAAACAAAAACACCCCTGCCCACCTCTCATTCCGGTGAAATATGTAAATATTTTAGGAGTTAAGACGACAAAAATATTTTAAAATTAGCAACATAAGTTTGAAAAATCAAAATATTTTGAAGTTTTAGAAACCCTGCTGCTAAAACAAGACACCCCTCCCCAGCTTTAGCTAGAAATATAATTACAAAATTAGGCCCAGACTTCACAGATAAAACAAGACTTGATGTTGTTTAATTCAAAAAAAACTATTTTACATCATTATTTTAAAAATGTGAAAGATTTAAAGAGACTGAACACGCAATTTCAAGTGATCGCTCATGTTAAAAGTGGGATAGCGGTACCCTTTATATTATTATGTTAGCAAACAAGATATATCACCGGTTTTCCATCTAGAACAGCGTTGAATTCTGGAACTTACCTTCTTTGTTTCTGCTTCAGAAGATCTGCAAGTTATTTATAGAGCAACCACAATTTTCAGATAGAAAACGGTGAAATTCTCATAGTTTTTTCAGATAAAGGATTTAAGGGCACTGTCTGATAGGTCCCCTTTAAATATTAGTTTATTTGAAATGTCGTCTACATTCTCTTTAAAAATATTTCAGAATTAAAAATAACTTGTCATCTCTAGTTGAATCTGTGTAAGATGTGGCACTAGGTATATTAGGTATATCAGGTATATTTTGAAAGGTCTTCATGTTGTTATTTAGTCAGCTCTTGTATTTATTCATGTGATAAACATATAGTCAACATTCTTTGCATAATATTTATTGAAATATATTCAAACTATTGTAATATTTGTTATTTTCATAAAATGAAAGTGTATAGTTAATATTTTTTGTGGTTTATATATAATTAATGTTAAATATATTGAAAAAAAAAGAAAATAGTTTTGTCTCCTAGACTCTTAATAAAATTCTTATTTAAAACAGTTGCATAGACTATGGAGGTTATTATAGAGAACAGAAACAATAAATGCGCATTATCTAAATATTTCATCTTAAAAATGATTAGGGAAAATTAAGAACAAATATTGCTTAACTATTCTTTCAAAGATTTGCAGATTTTAATAAAATTATTATTATAAATGCTTTTTATAATTAATATGTACAGAAAGTTGTAATTTTTGTTTGTCTGTTTGTTTGTCTCCAGAGACCCACGGGAATGTTCTTAGCTTGATTTTGAGTTTGTTAAGTGTGTCGAAAATTTAATTTCCCTGTAAAATCCTTCAAGTGCGGGTAAACGGCGGGAGTAACTTGTAGTAACCTTTGCAGTGCTAGGTTACTAAGCTATTAGATACATAATATAATTGGATGGGACTTTTAAAGTTGGGTAATTCTCTGAAATGATTTAACATATGTGACTTTGATTCTTGTCACGAATAATCTTGTTCTAGTCGTGCCTGTGACTTTTGTTCTTGTGATGACAGTGGTTCTAGTTCTTGTTCTAGTAGTTACAGTTGCTCTTGTTCTAGTCGTGATAGCGGTACTTGTTCTTGTTATTCTTCTACTCGTGACCAAGGTTCTTGTTTTAGTTTTGACCTTGGCTCTTGTTCTTGTTGTGACAGTGGTTCTCGGTCTGGTTATTGTTCTAGTCGTGACCAAGGGTCTTAGTTTCTTTTTATAATTGTGACCGGGGTCATGGTTTCAGTTGTGACGGGGCTCTTGTGTTAGTTGTGACCGAGATTCTTGTCATAGTGGTCATAGTGTCTTTGTTCATAGGATGACTGTGGTTTTAGTTTTTTAGTCGTGACCGAGGTTCTTGATCTAGTTTTGAACAAGGTTCTTGTTCTTGTTGTTCTTGTTTACGGTGTGATAGGTTCTTGTTCTAGTTATACTCAAGATTTTTAGTTTCGGTCTAGTCTTGACCGCTGTTCTTGTTGTAACATAGGCTTGTGGCGATCTGTGTTCTTGTTATACCCGCAGTTCTAATTAATTTTTAAAGCTACGTCCGAGATAGAGGTTCTATAAGTTCTAGTTCTGATATAACCCTTCATCCTTCATATCTCCCAGAAACTGATTACTCCTGAACCCAACCCGGATATTATTTTAGACTCAAATAGTAATGAGAATGATTGCTGTTCTTTTTTTTCGTTAAGTTGTAACTGTGAAAACACATTTAATTTTTCATGGTCTTTTCTAAAATGTAGTTTAAGAGCTGTTGCTCAAAAATTAAAAAATAAATATTTGCTGTTTGAGGTTTTAATCGGCCTTATGGACGCCCTTAAGTTCTGAACTGAAATCGTTACAAAGTATCAGTTAAAACGTGTCAAAAATGGAGGGGATGGGGCACGAAACGCCCCCCCCCCCCTCCTTTTTGGATAATTTATGTATGTTATGTATTCTATGGCTTTAAAGTATCTTGTATTTTCTGACTAAAACACATTATATCCGGTTTCCTGAAAGCTGAGTAAAGACTAAACAGAACATGAAGAGCCTGAACTCTGCTCCTATAAAATAAGAAGATTTGTTTCCTTTTTTGAAATTTAATGATACGATTGACATGCCCAAAAGAAAATCTGTATAAAGGGGTGAAATTTTTTACAGGGATACAGTGATAAACATGAAACTCTAAAATATGAAGACGACTTTATAGCAATATTTTAGTGTATGTCGTTGATAGTTTACTAGACACTTATTAAATCAAATGGGTTTGTTTACACTGCACAATGGCTATGTCCCATTAAGACTTCCTATTTCAGAGTTTTCTGGTTATCTGTTTTATTAATAAAATGTAAAATTTGTTTATAATAAAGCTTATGCTGTTTCTAATAAATCTTAATAGAATTTGCAGAAAAGATGTTTATTCTTGAATTTTAGACATATTGCATTTGCACGTCAAGTCAAGAACGAATATTTGTCTGTCTGGGTGATTGTCTTTGTGGGTGGGGAGGTATTTGTGGTAGTGTGGTGGGGGGTGGGGGGTTGAGAACCAAACCATTCTATTTATCTTTGCTTTGTATTCAGATCAAAGAGAGAATATAATATTTATATTCTATGTTGTTGGAAACAAACATCCAAATATACTTCAATGAACTGTAGAAAATGAATTACATTATTTGTTTAACTGTTATTTTTCAAAATTATTTCTTTATTAAATTTTCCCACAAACTCTAATTTTCTCATCCTCATATATTTACAACATGAAGGTGTGCACTTGTGATAATTCAAACTTAGATAATTTGATCCAACAAAATTAATAGCTTGAATATATAAGGTATACGACAATGGATTGCAATGATATAGGGGTTGGATTAGATTTTCTGCCTTTTCAGCATAATTGATAAAATTGTTTTTACCTGTAAACTGGTATATCAAGTAGTCCACACATAATATCAACCTTAACAGGTATTATTATAATTGTAAACAAACTCCTGCTTACAATCAATGATAATATACAGTACTGCCTTCTTCATCGAGTAGAGAGATCTTTGTGTTTAGATATATCAAAAACCGCTTAGATTCCTGAAAATTCGATGTACACTAAGTACAGTCTGAACTCAACACATCGAATATTTTACTTTAAAAGCAGTCTCCAAACATCCGAAAGAAAATATTTCTTTTCTGCCAATTCTCGAAAGTGAAAACAGCTTGCTTCGTGTAATAATGAGAATAAGTCCGACAACCTTGATCAGCCAAAGGTTTTAAGGGTTCCATTGTGAATCTTTGCAAGGAGAGACACTTGAAATTATGCTTCCAGTCCCTTCAACTTAAAAGTTAGTAATTTATTTCACATAAGCTAATGAAGTAATGTTAACATAGTACACTGTACAGTTAACTGTAAATGGTTAACCATAAAAACTTACATAAAAACGTAGTGTGCTAAAAGATTTCTCTACAGGGAAATGTAAAGTGTACTGCACTTTGCACAATTGTACAATATAATTGAAAATGTACAATGTACCGTAAAATGTACAATTACTGCCGTAAAATGTACAGTGTGCTGTAAAATTTACAGTGTACCGCAAAGTGTACATTGTACATTGCACTGAAAATATCAAAATGTACTACAAAGCTTGCAGCGTACTACAAAGTGTACTACAACATGTACAGTGTACTGCAAAGTGTAAAATGTACTGAAAATATCAAAGTGTACTGCAGTTTGTTTACTTGTGCAGAAAGATCGATATTGAGCCCAGCTGTTGGTAAACTCAAAGTATTTAAAGCATCCTCAAATTCCTCCGGCCATTCCTAAACACAAAACACAATTATCAGAAGTGCCCGGCCGTTTCCTGTAATTTAAAAAATTCAGTCAAGTAATTGCGCGCAAGTAAAATTCACTTGCGTTGGAAACCCTATAGATACGTAAACCTTTTTTTAAAAAAAATTATTATTTATAATTTATAATTTTTATTTTTTAAGCAAAATTTAGAATACCTGCATCAATAAATCAATCTCGGGCATGGGTTTATTATAGTGCACAGTTGGGTTTGGTTTGGAACGATGCAGATCACTGATATCTCGAATCCATTTCTCCACGTCCTTACTCTGCTCGCCAGCGACTCGCTTCACTCGCGCACTTGTGCTAAACAAAATGGCAGCAATCAGTAATAGAAGAAAATAAGACTAGGTACCCTAGATTTTACATTTAACTCAAATTAAACGTTAAATATTTGATCTTGTTTAGAGACTTTTAGATGAAATCTGTTGAAACTTTAAACCAGCAACAGTCTAAATATTTTTAAATTTGTCAAGAATTAAAAATCTTATTTAAATCTTTCAATATTTGAGACGGACAGCTCTATCATTTCGGAAAATATTTTCCAAGAACCAATTTTTGAAACTTATTAATTGATTATTTAAGGAAAATGTAAAATTTCATTAAAGTCTCCAATCTCAATATTTTAAAAACAATATACTTGTGAGAAAAAGAAAAATATTAATTCAAAAGTAGTTGAATCAGTTTTGAAAAGGGGTAGTTAGAGTACTTTTAAGAGAATTTTCCAGTTAAAAATTCATTTTACAATTTTTAAAATTATCCAACTATTTATATAGCTTTGTTTATATTTTCTGTTAAGTTTTTAACAAAACCGTATATCTAGCTCATTGATTGTCAGCATAATGTTGCTAACCTGGCAGATTGTTTTGATACAACTCTGATTTGAAGTTCCAGGACGCTAGGATCGGACTGCTGAGCTGCAGGCTCATCTAGAACCTTGAGCCCGATCATCTCAGGAGTTCCATCATGTCGGGGAACCCTGATGAACGCGTCAATATCTCCAACCGCCGGAATATAGTCCGGGATGAAAGGTCTGAAGAAAGACAAGAAGGTATTAGATTCTCCAAGTATTAAATTGCAAATTTAAATTTTATTTAAATATTAAGTTTTATCAAGAATATTAACTTAAATTTAGCTAGAATTCTTACCTAAATTTCATTTCATTTTCAATTGTTTGCGGTGTGTACTTAAGAATCAGAGCAAACAGATCTTTTACTTCAGGTTCTACATTCAGGTTATTATATTGACTAGGATCATAAGAACCTTCTCCACCAACTCCAACAGCAACATCATCATCATCGTCTTCATCATCATCATCATCATCATCACCCTCATCGTCATCTTCATTCTGAGGATTGTTCAGATCCTCAGCAGGTAGATGAATATCAACCTCCTCCGCGGCATCAAGACCATCGAAACCATCATCAAGGTCCTCAGGGTCTTCAGGTGCGTCATCATGCTCTTGAAATTCTTGTGAATCACCTTGTTGATATTCTTGTGGGTATTCTTGATCTAAAATATTGTGGAACATATAAAACTCTGGGTGTCTTTCTTCTTTTTTTGTTAAAAATGTTGATATGGATTCGTATTTCAAAACTTATTTATTCATTATTATAACTAATACGCTTTCAAAAAGCAAACACACTTTTTAACATAAATTTTAAATGGAAAAATGAACGAAGCCGAGAATAATTCCAGTGCAAGGCTTTATTTTGTTTCTGTTTTTCTGATGAGTAGGTTTTATTTTTGGAAAAAACCTAGTACCTTCCAATACACTGCGCTTATATGAAATACAAACTTCCATGAAAAAAATAAAAAAAAATTAGAATTTATTGTTAAATTTTATTTTTAACAATCAGACTTCTTCCCATGTTAAGTTTCATCTAATTCCAGGGATTTTAGAGTTTCTACTTTTTATCATTACAAAAGTTTTATTAAGTTCGGAACCTAGGAACGACACAAATAAACCTCATTTCCTTTTTCATTATACATTCATTCAGATTTAGTCAAAATCCTTCATTATTTTCTTGAAATTTAAGATACGGAGAAAATTTAAATCCAAAAACTTGAAGCACTCTGTTAAAAAAAGTGATTTCATAGATAATTGGTGCAAAGATTATTTTAAAATAGTTAAGAAATATTAAGTTTTTCTGCGCGCTTGTCATAACTCTTTTTCTAGTAATTTATTTTGAATGAATGAGGATGATTCATGCAAAAAAAATAACTTGGATTTTATATTTATGATTATAATACTGATATTAAAGTTTGAAAAGTTTAAAGTTTTTGCCGCACAACTTTTCTCTAGACGATATTAAATAATATTTGAAACCACATTATCTAAAACAAGGTCGCGTGGTACTTCATATAGATACTACCCCCCCCCCCTGGATCAAATTCTATAAAGAAAGCATATGGACCATTGATTACAAAGACTGGATTCTAGAAGAATTAGTCCTTTCCAATTTCAAACAAATATAGCAAAAACTTATTAGGCTACCCTAAAAAATGGTATCATGCCTTTTCAGCTCCTAAAATCCTGAAAGATATGTTTTTGAAAATATCTTTATTCTAGAGGGGGTCTTCCTTTATGTAGAAATCTTATCCTCGGGTATAGCAATATATCGACATATGTAAAAATCTTTGTTAACCAAACATAACAAGTTTACAGTTGCAAAGAATCTTTAATAAAAGTAAACAAACAATACAAACTCCGAACAATCATCTCTACAGTCTCATCCTTCATTCCCTTTGTATTTAAATTAAAATATATGAATAATACATATACCTGGATCCTGAAACCCGATTTCAGAAGACATCTCATCATCAAAATGTCCCTGAACCAGTTTAAACAACATTGAACATATTACTTTTAAATAAATCACATAAAAGGGAGTTCATTCATTTCTGATTTAAAAAAAACTTATTTAAATTTTCCTTTTAAGGACCGAATTCCTAAGAATTCATGGGAATTCATTAGAATTTGGTATTTTGATTTAAATATCTATAGACTTAGATAATTTTCGAGAATACAATAATTTTTTTTGCGAGAATTCAAATAACGTCTTCTACATGCATAGCTTGGTCTGTAAGAGTCAGGTGTTTAGTATAATTTAGTTTAATTGTGTTTCAAGTTTTTGAATTAGAAAAAGGGTTAGAAACTAAACTAGAAGGGAGGAACTAAGAAAACTTTTATAACATGAGTTTATACATAGTTTTACCGGAATGTTTAGCTAGGGAAGTAGATGTGTTAGAAGATAGTTTGTTTTCAGGAATAAGGGTCCGGGACGTGTGTAAATTGTTAAGGGCAATGTCACCTTTATTTACAGGATTACGTTACTTCAGATTTCGGAAATTTTCCCTTTAGGCTTAATTAAAGCTATTAGAAACTTTAATTAGATACAGGATTACTTAAGATTTGGTGATAATATTTATTATATTAATTTCATTATAAAAGGATTATTGTGTGGTTACCAAACGTAAATATTGTAAAATTTACAAAATTTGTAAAATTACTGAATCATTCCTTCATTTAAGAAACACAAAACGTAGAAAAAACTGTGAAATTTTATATTTGTAATTTAGTAGAATGTTTGTTAATACAACCTGTAAGTTTAAAGGACCAGCCATGACGTAAGTTAATTTCTTCAATTTCTGCTCTATTTTTTTCATAAAAATATTTTCCTAACAAAGTCAGGAATTTGACTGAAATATTGGTCTGTGTGTAAGTCACTATTGGTTAATTCAGTGTATAGTATTCAAATACAATACAGATAGAAAGCAGCCCATAGCGACCATACTCATACTCATACCCACACCCATACTCATACTTACACCCCTACTCATACTCATACTCACTCTCATACTCATACTCATACTCATACTCATACTCATACTCATACTCATACTCATACTCATACTCATACTCAAGGTAATAAGGCAAGGAAAGTTAATTACGGTTGCGTATTCTCTACGCACATAATGAAACCAGTTTCTCTGGGCGGTATTTATAAACAAGAATATATGCATCACTGTTCCAAAAGTATCTGAGGAGGATAAAAGCATTTAATTTTGATAATTCACATTATATTTTCCTATGACCAGAATATTTCATTGATTTTTTATGTGAAAGATAGATCCCATGTCAGGCTGTAACATCCGTCATGTTTACTTTATAGCCCAGAGTCAGTACACTACAGTACAAAAAATGTGTACACCTCTGAGCCTGAAATTTAAAAGAGTATCGTTGAACGAAACTTCCGAGTTTCCTTTTTGGGGTCTTATTATTAGTGTAGATTTTGATTTAAGAGATTTGATAAAAATGGTAAGATATAAAGGATTAAATAAAATAATATTTCAAAACAAAAATATCGATATCTACAAAACTGGGTAAACCCATTTGTGAAACCCGGGTTCCAAAACTGGTTTTCATAACGATACCCTGTCTTAAGTTTTGGGCTCTGAAATAACTATAATCTTTACAATATAATTCTTTGCTCACACTACAGTCCAAACTCCTATAATTCTAAATGCTTCATCTGAAGAAAATTGACCATCCAACTACTTTCCAAAAGGTGCATTGCAAGGAAATGTAAGTCTTTAAATAATTATTTACGTTTGGAAAATATTGCAAAACATCAAAATTTATCTTTTTCTTTTTCAATGTCTTTTTGACATAATCAAGTAAGTTTAGAGTATTAAACCATGTAGAGCGTAAAATGACACTTGAAGAAAAGTTGTTTCATAAGAAATACCAAATAAGTATGAGACGGACTCTGAAGTTGTGATTTCTTAATGACCTTTCTTTTTAGAATGGAGTATGTTCCTTTATAAATGATCAATTATGTGAAAGATATTGTCGTTTTTCTTGCTTGAATAGTATTTAATTCCGAAAATTTCCTCAATTGTTTCTGCACATGAAATATGTGAGTCCGTTTTCATAGAAACCACAATTAAAACAATTGTGAAAGAGAATAACATGACTATCTATCTATTCATTTTTTTTACCGTTTTTTTCTTCATACATTACTTAAGAGATTACCTATTTTTTCTTTAAAAAAATTTCTATTTGGATATTAACATATTTGTTTAACATCTTTATATTTAAGCTGAGCTAAATCACAACGTTTAACAATTACTTTTATCATTACATGTAAGTATATACATACATACATTAATTTTCTTATTTACATTCGAAGAAACAACATAGGAGTAATATAAACAACAACGTAAACTATAACATATAAATATGTTGTCCAGTAGAATATGTTGAGTAAAGTAAACAACATAGAAAACTGTTATCTACCAAACATATAAATATGTTGTCCAGTAGAATATGTTGAGTAATGTAAACAACATCGGAAACACTTTTCTGCAGACAGCATCCATTCTAAAAAAAAGAAGAAAAAAATATTGAAATATATGAAACATAGTTTAGAAAATCTTTTTGGATGTTTTTTTTTTTCATTCTGTTTTTACATTATAATACACACGTCAAATAAAAGTAATATTTTTTTGCGATAGATTGACGTCTCACATGCTTTCAATCATAAATACTTTATATATATATTTATATATATCCATAGACACAGTGTTTCGTCCTATTAGGACTCATCAGTATTTATATATATGTATTTTTATACCGTAGTCGAATAGACAAAGCGAAAAAGAAAATTAATTTAAGTTTTATTTAAAACTTTTGATAATTGATACTTTCAATTTTTCAAAGATAATTCAAACACTTTTTTATTGTATATAAATCATTTTCCATTTTTGTGTAGACCACTGTAGAAAAGTTGATATCTCTACAACAATAAACATTAAAAAATACCTGTTTATGATTCTAGGGGTATCATGGTAGAGTTGAGTTTTTCTAATTTTCCCCAACCAGTTTATTCCAATCAATCGGTCAAACAGAATACCCCATAGTCTATCCATCCAACTCAAGGTTCTATAATAAGGTTGCTGTCGATGCGCTTCAATTCACAAAAAAATGTCGTCTTCTTAGCATAGATAGAAAGAATCCGCATATGACGCCACTGATAATAGAGGCGAGAGTGACGTCATATGCGGATTCTATCTATCTCTGCCAATAAGACGACATTTTTCGTACATTCGATCACATCAAGAGAAATCAACCTACCTTGATCCAACTAAACAGTAAAGAACGGGTTCATAAATTTTGAAAGGAGGGTGTAAAAATTGAGATTAGGATTGGTACTAGTCTTATATATTTTAATGTTACCTTTTGCATTAATCTTTTTACAAAAAAACTTACTTTTTGTGTATGAATAAATCATTGAAAAACTAAACCGATCAGTGGCGCAACTCAGCATATTTCACCCCCCACTCACTTGAATCCAGCATGATCATGATCGTGGACCATCTTTTATCAAATTTTGCCAAATAAGAAAAAATAAAAAATAAATTTTGGCGCTTCGCGCATAATTTCTAATAGAATTTCAACTATTTTCTCTTTTTCGGCATAAAGAAAGTCTGTCATTCTTAATTTATTTCGTATATTTGTAACTTCTAATGAGTATTACAATACACATACCATTTAAGGTTACGTAAAAACCTGACAACCTAAGAAGAATAGCTAATATGATGAGGATTAAATCAGACTATTAGGACTTTTGCAGACTATAAGTGGAAACAGGGATAAGCCCCTGACTGGCAAACAAGGACTGGGGGAACTTAGATCAGAAAGAGTATTAGTATTATGGATTATGGACTAAATATAGTCAAATACTGCCAGGAACAACTTGATGCATAGGACTGCGCATACCTATGATTAAGGGACTACATAGTGGACAAATATGACTAGTGGATGAATTACAAAAAAACTTCAGTAGACTGTATACTAGGGGACTTTATATGTATAGAGAATATGACAAAGCCAGGGACTAACAGACACAAGGAAATACATGAAAAGACACTAGAAAAACAGAATTTGCTTTGCGCTTCGCGCACATGTATTTCTCTTTAAGCTGTTGGAAGTATATTTTATTTATTTAATTATATTTATCTTATAACAAGCTATGAATATAGTGAATAATATAAGAGTTTGGTATATTATTAAGAGCACAGAGCCAACCCTTCAACAATTAAAAAATGCTGTTTTTTTACTTCAATACCTGAAAACAGTTTTTTTTTTTGAAAATCAAAAAAAAAAAAAATTTGCCCCCCTCCCCCTAAAAAAAGTGCAAGTTATCCCTCTTTAAATTTCGGGCTCAGGAACTACTCAGAAAGTGTACTGCACATTTGATTATTAGATTGATTTTTGGTTAAGTAGAGAACCGTGTTTTAATTCTTATGTTTTTCGAAACAGCCTGTTTTCAGGTTCATATATTTATTTTACATTTAAAAAGTCAACAACTGACCATGAAGTGCACCTGACAAGATAGAAAACTATCACTGTGTGGGCTGCTGATAAATTATGTGGAGTGTTTTCACAATCTTATCTCCATTACAAAATTAGCTTTCATCATCTCATGTTTTTTTTAATGAAAAAATATTATACAATCTACCTCTCAAGTCGTAATGATAATCGCATTTTTTAGCGGAGCAGAATTAGTGCAGAGAGAATTGAAATACTGTGCCAATTATAAATAAATTTGTGTTAAATGGATTCAGGCCACGGTACTTCAGCATTTATTTCCTGGCTGGTAATGCTTGAATCATAGATATCGAGATCAAACATTGATTTGAATATTTTGTTAATCAACATAGCTGAAAACTTTACAACTATGGATATCGAGATCAATGCTGGATCTCATCTTTTTATCAATCATAAAATTAATTTGATCTTTATTTTGTCTCCTGAAAAGTGTGAAAACCCGAACAGCCAATCTAAAGCCAATTTGGAATTTTGGTGCGCAATAAATAAGAGGGCTCTCGTTGGTCAAAACAAAATATTGTTTTCCTGGAAGAGCTGATTAAACGAAATCAAAAGTGTTCCCAGCGGAAATTTAATCGTTATTTGATACCTAGTTTAGGGCCTATAATTCAACTAATTAGAGTGTGTCATATGCGGAAAATTAACAACCAATCAGAAGCCAGGGGTATTTTACGTTAAACCAATGAGATAATAGTGAGAATGATAAATATCAAAAAAAAATCCAATGTTTCATTTTAATTATGAATTCCTACCCATTTGTTCTGGAGTCTGAGGGGGGTTCAATTACTTCTAGAACCTACAGTAAAACAAAAATTAGATATATTGAAATTCTAAAATATGCTTAGAAAAATATATATAAATTTTATATACAGTATTCATTTTACATTATACATCACATGTAGTGTAATCTGTGAATATTATTTATTTGCAGTTGTCAAGCAATTAAAGTGTAAAAATCTCAGATTGCCTTTTCTTTTCACCCTATATAGACGACAACAATAAAAATATTACATCTGAGAGACTCGCAAAGATTTAGTAAAATTATGACAATAAATTGAAAAACACAAATTCTAAGACTGCAATTTCCCGAGTGTTCCATTTCTTTAACGTTATTCAGTTCAAGGAATATATAAAAGGAACATCCATAAATAATGTAATCGTGTAAATATAAAGGGATTCGAATTTTTTTCTTTCTTTTTAATGCATAGGGTAGGTCCGGTCTGTGTAGTAAAAAAAAATCTTAAATATCCCATAACATTTTTGTGACTTAAGCTAAAGATCTAAAAACGGATGTAAACACAAAAAAAATATTTGTTTACATTAGCTTGACCCTATTTTGGCATTTTTTAACCCTCCCTAGCACCCAAACTATTAAAGTAATCGGTTTAATTTTTTTTTCAATGAGCTGGCCTTAAAAATTGGGCTATGATCATGCTAAATTTTAGCCTTTCTCTACGGCCCTTTTCTAGGGGGGGGGGGCCCCCTCCAGGCTATGCAAGGATTCAGACCCCCCAGCCTTTATAGGGTTAATGCACAAATACAAATTCAAACATAAACCAGTTTAGCCGGCCTGAAATGTCGAAATATTTCCAACTACGCCAAACACTACCTGTAATATATTAGGTATATCGTCAGCATTCCCTGAACTAGTTTCTATCTCGGAAAGTGACCTAAACACAGAGGTAACAGGAATCTTTGAAAATAGGGGGGGGGTTGAAGGGGAAGGAAGTTATTATTTTTTTAAAATGTTATCTGACCTAACTGCAGTTTTAACTCCAGGTACACTAAACTTCCTAGTTAGATCACCCTCATCTCCAGTCTTGGGGAGAACAGAGGACGGTTTAACCTTGTTCTCCAGGTGCTAAATATACACTGTTTAAAATTATCAATAACCCTTTTATAACATTATCAACATTATAGATCATTAAATAAATAATAAAATGGAAATAATTACCTGAATATGAACAAGAGGGGCAGTCATACTTCGAGTCATGTCATTCAATGTTAGAACTCGTGTTAGATCTCGGTGCTTTAACCTCCTAAATCAACGTATTAAAATCATCCTTATTATGACCATCATCAATATATTGATCATCATAATCATCAAAATCATCATCAACATCGTTCAATTGATAATCATCATCATTATTATCATCATCATCATCATCATTATCATCATCATTATCATCATCATCATCATCATCATCATCATCATCATTATCATCATCATCATCATCGTTTAATTGATAATCATTATTATCATCATTAACATCAAAATCATCATCATCATTAACATCGACCTCATCTATTTATCTTCATCACCATCATTAACATCATAATATTCATCATCATTAAATTGATAATCACTATCATCACACTGAACTAACCACAGAGAGAAGCATCCTGATTCTTTTATTTGAAATCAAACGTGTTTTCGTCTATATTTTAACAATCTTTAAACTTACAGATTTGTTTATTTAATACTTTTTATTCAAAATGCATATGCCAACAAAAAATTATTTAAGAAAAAGGCTATAAAGTTATATATAAGGGGTCAAATTGTGATCGGAAGTCACAGCTTTCTGAAATATTGACAGAACCGTTAAATCCACGTGTCATCATCATCGTTAATTTGATAATTATCATCGTCATCATCGTAAAAATTTGATATTCGTTATCAACATGATCATCATCATTAGATTGGTATTCATTAGCACCTGATAAAGAGGTCGAGGAAATTAATGAATGCGAACTCTATGAGAGCAGTAAACACTGAGATAAAGCAGATGATGATAAATACATCTAGAGCTGTAGCATACCCCACCTAGATATAATGATAAATACATCTAGAGCTGTAGCATACCCCACCTAGATATAATGATAAATACATCAAGAGCTGTAGCATACCCCACCTAGATATAATGATAAATACATTAAGAGCTGTAGCATACCCCACCTAGATATAATGATAAAATATCTAGAGCTTTTGTATACTAGGGTTTCTTGCGTAATGGAAGCATCATTTTGCATACATTCCGCATTTGCTAGAAATTTTTTGGTTTCAATTCAAATTCCGAATTTTTGCGCAAAAATACGCGCAAATTCCTCGAAATTTTTTTTTTAATACTGCGAAACAAAAGCACAAATATTGGACAAAAAACAAGTACGTATATATTATATATATAGAGATTTTATACCTGAGGTTTAGCTTTACCCCCGAACCCAATGGTAACCACCGCTAGGACGGTTGTTGCTCCGAGCTGAGTTCTAGCTGGTGTCTCCTGACCCTTCTCCGTCTTCACCTGAAAGGAGTTGTTCATTTATTTGGAATATACACCATGTAGTTTACTTAATTATACTTAATGCAAAACCATAACTCAACTAAAAAATTATCAAATGAAATAAACGATAATTAAACAAAATAAACAATAATTAGATAAAGTAAACAATAATTAGATGAAATGAATGATGATTAGTTAAAATAAACAATAATAAGAAAAAATAAACAAGAATTAAATAAAATAAACAATAATTGAAGTAAATAAAGAATAATTAAATTAAATAAACAATAATTAAATCAAATAAAAAAATAAAATAAACAATAATTGAAGTAAACAAACAATAATTAAATTAAATAAACAATAATTAAATTGAATAAACCTACCAACCAGAATGTTACCCAGGAACTCATCACAATAATAGTCAATGGAACATAAACCTAAATTAAAAGGGACTTCTAAGTGACCCCTCACTTAAGTATTGCACATTAGTCATTAAACCTTTTTATATCTTACAATGGCGTAGAACTCTTTTAAAATCTACGTACTAGTTAAAGCTTTCAGAAAGTAACATGTCTTGTTATAGAAATTAAATTTCAAAATTATGTAGTAAAGATTTTTAAGATTGAATTTCCATCTAACTTTACATTTTGACTTTTCCATGTCTTTTTACTTTATTTGGTCTCCCTCCCTCCCTCTCTCCTTTTCATAGTTACAAAATGAAAATTTTTTACAACAAAGTAAACAACTTGAAACTATTTTTAAATTAGACCCAGGATCTAATAAAACTTTAATTTGGAAAAGTTTGAAATCTATAGATTGTTTTATATCATTCTTAAATCTAGATCTGGGCATTGAAGAATTAAGAAAACTATTTTCTATTCAACTTTGAGAGAATTTTTGTCCCATATTTTTACTCACAATTACTTGATCTTGGATATAAAAAGTTGATTTTTGTTCCAAGGCAAATAAGTATAAATATATCCACAAAGCAGGTTTCCCTTTAAATTTCGCGGATTTTAATAAAGACTTCGCACATTTTTTTGAAACTTGAACTAAGTGAATTTTATATATCCAATTAACTGTTTTATGTTATCATTTGGGAAATTATGCTTTTTGTTGTGATTTCTACTTTTTGTTTGTTTTCAGTTTTTTTACACCCGGAGAAAGTAGAATTAAAAAATATCTTTATAATAGGAGAAAAAAAGAATCAAACAGGTTTATCTCTACGCGGAGAATGAGGCATCCAACAAGGTAAATTTATACCTGAAGAATGCAAAACCCAACAAGGTCTTCCTATACCTAGAAAATGTGAAACCAAATCAGGTTTATCTATACCTGGAGAATATAGAATCCAACAAAGTAGAGAATGTAGAACCAAAGAGATTTATCTTTACCTGAAGAATGTGGAATCCAACAAAGTTTATCTATACCNCCTGGAAAATGTAGAATCCAACATTATTTATCTATACCTGGAGAATGTAGAATCCAACAAGATTTATCTATACCTGGAGAATATAGAATCCAACAAGGGTTATCTATACCTGGAGAATGTAGATTCCAACAAGGGTTATCTATACCTGGAGAATGTAGAATCCAACAAGGGTTATCTATGCTTAGATAATGTGGAACCGAAGAGAATTAATTATACCTGGAGAATGTAGAACCCAACAGCTCTTTCAAAAAAGAATACAAGGTATATGACAGATCTAAAACATTAACACCTTTTTGATATCATTACTAAATATTCCTTTATGCAATTATTCGAATTTAACTTATGATCTCAGATCTCACGAGCAGAAACTAAACATCGAACAAACTTAATAAATCTATTTTTTGATGGAATACTTGACCATGCTATAATATGCCTTTAAAGTGTTTAAGATTATCAATCTTAAAAAGGAAATAGTAAAACGTCCTGAGCAGAAAACTTCAGAATTGTTGAAATGAAGATAAATAATTGATCTCCTCTTTTTGTTAATTTTCAGATTATTATAACCTTTATCCTCTAAAAAGCCTAAAGTTCTACTAATCAGAGTGTACCAAAAGCGAGGATTCAGAAGAAGCGGTCAATTAAAACGGTTGTTGGGGGATTTGAGACGTGGCTTAAATTCATTAAATTCAGACACATAACTTGAAACACTACTAAAAACCTGACGTAATATTGATTTTATACCTCTGTCCAGTTTGAATGATTGCATCACGTGACCCGTAGGTAAAGTTGACCAGCTTATACTGAGCCAACTCAAGATCATCATCCATACTCATAGGTTTAGCTGACCAACTAGAAACATTTTTAGAAATCCTCTCAAATCAGTTCGACGGAATTAGTGAATTTTGAGATTTAACCTTGAAGGTCTGAGAATTCAACCATTTGAGATAAAAAGCAGTAACAAATAGGTTTTGACTTAAACGGACTATAAGCGTAATTTAAAGTGACATTCTAAGTAAAGATGTTAATGCCTGATTAACAACGCTATGCTTGAAACATTAATCTGATTAAAAATGTGGAAGATATTGTCGTTTTCCCTTCTCGAGAAGTGTTAAGTTCTGATAATCTCTCCATTGCTTGTTTCATCTATAAGCAAGAAATGTGGCAATAACTTTTCCAGAGAAACCGCAAATGAAAATAAACAGTTTAGAAACACAAACATTGAAATTTAGATTATTAGAAAATTGATCACTCAGATAAAGCTTTTGTAAATCGGACATTGACACCTTTGCATGGAGTCTCATTTGAAATTTTGCTTACAGTCCCTTTAAACCAAATACATCGAATCCTAATGTTTACATTGTGGATATCAAGTGAAGTTATTCTAAATTTAAAACTATTTGATCTTTCACAAAGTTTCGACCTCTGATTGACCAGCTGACAGTATATGAGGTTCTTTTCAAATGTACTTTGTGCTAATTTAAAATTATAACATTTTTCATATGTCATTAATATTTTTAATAAAATTATTTGTCGTTTCCGTAACGTTGTTGAAACAATTACTATCAAAGTTTGTGTAATAATAACTTTGACTGTAATTATCACGCTTTAGCACTATATTCCCTTTACAGTTTTTTTACAGGTTAACTCAGCAACAAGTTCACACATTGGGAAAAACTGAAGTGGGGGAGGGAG